ATTTAAGCAGGTCTTAACGAGAGTACTTCTGTACTTCCATGTTTCGGCGTGACCCTTTTGAAGCAATCATGTTTAAGTTTCCTTAATTACATTTGTTTTTGGTTGTAATATTATCGGGAGGGAGTTATGCGTGTGAAAAATCCTTTGATGTGTTCAAGGCAAGGGAAAAGTTGTTAAGGTTCCTCAAGGGTCGGAGCGGAACATTCGTTTTGAGTCTGCCACCCGTAGTAGGTTACCGGAATGCTTGCTAGTTGCTTTGCAGCTTGTTGGGAGGAAATCTGGGGATAAAAGAGGGTAAAGAAACGATGGTGTTGTCGAGGTTCTTCGGATTGGGTTATCTTACAAGTGTGTGACGAGTTTGCGAACTGGAGTTGGAATTCATAATTTGTGATGGGATTCTAGGCTGCTATGAATGTGAAGTGGCAAGTACACATTATCATTTAATGTGTTTGGGATTATTGAGTTTGTGAATATCCATAAAAAATATCTAAAACAAAATAAAAAATGCATATTGTGCGTGTTTAATGCGGAGAGGTTAGTAACAATTAATTAGGTATATATAATATGGCCATACTGTATAACCCTAAACCTTAATTCTGCCGCAATTCGCCCCGGTGGCATCCTAATAGTATGATCCTTTCCGTTGGTGCACAAGTAGAGGAATGCAGCGGAAAAAACATAGGTGCGAAAATCATTATGCCAAAATCATCTGGTTCTTACAGGGTCCTTGCCCAAACACGAGGTTGAAGTTATGAATTCATATTATTGAGTGAGGATCCTCGCCGGATCCTTTTTGTGAGGATTCTGGGGATTTTCAAATCATATTCGTTCATCATACATCGTGCGACTAGAAATTATTATAAATTTTTGTATAAAATTGAATATAAACAGTATCTGACAAAAACTGGCAGCACGATATACGATGAATGGATGTGATTGGAGGATTCCCGGGAAGCTCACAAAGAGGATCAAGCGAGGGTCCTCTCTCCATATTATTAACCCTTCTGTCAGTCTATCCGTTAAGTTAGCATACAAAGTGTAATTGTAGAACATGAAGTGACAAGTACTATTCCATAGTTAAGTAGGTAAATAGGATTTCCGTGGAAAGGTTAATAACAATCCGACCTTAGCTCAGTTGGTAGAGCGGAGGACTGTAGTTGTGTAAAACAGACATCCTTAGGTCGCTGGTTCGAATCCGGCAGGTCGGACATTTCTTTTTTACCCTTTTTCAATTTCCTTATCAACGCTCCGAACCCCCGATCGCTGATTGCTCCCTCTTTCTCTCTCTCTCTCTCTCTCTCTCTCTCTCTCTCGCCATACATCTTTTTTACCCTTTCTCTCTCTCGCCTGAACCAGTCCCTCTGCTCTGCTCTGCTTCTAACATGGTAAACCCATCGGATCTGTGAGGTCAATTTTTATTTTCTCACTCTCTGTTTGGTTGCTGAGAAAAGTGTGTAACGGAGTCGCTTTCTCGGCGGCCAAACAGACCCTTAAGGAAAAATTTGAGATCATTAAACCAAATTTGCATGATCTCTTGGGCATATAGTTCGCTTAATTTCCATTGAAATTGTTATTTTTGCAGTTCCTTATAATTCTGACAAGCTTTTTCTTTTTCTTTTTTTCCAGTCGAACTCATTGCGATTGTACTTGGCGTGTATAAGGAACACTCTCGATGCCGCAATGTGTCTACAGGTAGGTCTTCCCATTTTCGGGTCCAGTTTTATGCGAAAGCCGAGCCCTTTTAGCGCTGTTAATTTCGATAGAGATCTGATTTCTTCTCTACCTGCCTGTTTTTCATGTTGAATATCTGTTATGTTTATGTGTAAAATTAAAAGAATTGGGCAGATAGCACTTGTGTTAGTATTCAGATGGGAATTGGTGAATTTCCACATGCTTATAATGCCTGATTGATTCTGTATCGTGTGCGTACGACGTGCTGCTTGCAGAATTTTCCTTGTCAAGAAGTTGAAAGGCATAACAAGCCGGAAGTTGAGCTGAAGTATGTTCACTTGCTGCCGCATTAAATTCTTTAAATTCTTAATTTTAATGTTTTGTAAGTAGTAAGAGAAAACAGGCTGCTTACTTAAATCTATTAAGGTGGCCAGTAGAGAAATGGATGTCTGTAATTATATGCTATTAAACTAAGTTTTGTCACAGTAAGGCTTAATTCATTACTGTTTGCTGTTTTTTTGTGTTTTAAGAAATATCTAGATTAGTCGTTTTGTATGACAAGTTAGCGCAAAGTTTACTGGTAAATGATGTAAGGAAATCCGAGTGAGACTATTTGGATATCCAAGTGAGTCTATTTGGATATAGTGCCATTATCAGAGAAATCCCATCCCTACATTGTCAATGGAAATTAAAACATGAGCACTCCTATCGCGGAAGGCTTTCCTCATTGTGCTACCCTTTTTTTTTTTACAGGCATGATAAACACATGCATATTGTGTATTGAGTTTACCCATAATTCAGAATTTATGTTCTTTTTGGCGGAAGTTTTATTAAAACTAATCCAAATATATAGTACAAGATGTCCTCCCTAGGAAGACTATCGCGTTTCCTATGCCTCATCATGTCCTTTAGTGATTCTTTTGTCCTTCAAATTTTCACTTTTCATGTTTTTGCATGTATTTGGACACATTTAGTAAGGTCGTATGAGAACAATTGTGTTGCTCACTATAAAATGGTGGTTAAATTCAAAGGATGAAGGAAACTTAGAACTATTGACTAATGTGTTTAGCTGAGAAAGTGTTAATCTTCTCTTCATGTTTTGCAGGACCAGCTCAGAACTTCTGCTAAATCCTGTAAGAACCATCTTATTGGCATGATAAAGATCAGTTGCCACCACCCTCTTTTTCTCTTGTCCTTATCTTAATGCTTAACAAAGTTGGTTGTCATTGAACACTTGAACTCTGATGAGCCAGATACTCCTAAAAAGAATATGACGGATATCTTAAGCTCATGTTACCAAGATTTCGTTATGTTTTGTTTTCCGTAAAAATATGACGCTGAGCTTTTTGTATTATTGCTGTCACAGGTTTTGATATGTCGAAATGAGGCTGAAAAATGCTTAATAGAGACATCTATAAATTCCCTTCGGATAAGCCTCAAGGTGAATATACTTTATTACATAGTTGGTATGCTCAATGGCAGATGTTCGCTTGGACAATGTTGTTGTATTTTGTTTACCGTTTTATCATTGACTCAGTATCTTATAAAGAAAAGCCAGAAGCTACATACTTTGAATTGGGGCTCCGAGTTTGTAATCTGTGCACCTTCTAATTTTTAGGATAGATTACAATTCTTGCCTGAAAGATTTGTAGTTGTATATAGAATTGATATCTATATCGTTTTTTATTTTCCCCTTATCTCTGTTTTTTTTCGGGTGCTCTCTCTTGTATAGGTAAAGCAGGCAGATGAGCTTGAAAATATACTCACTAAAAAATTTCTTAGATTTTTGTCGATGAGAGCAGAAGCATTTCAGGTGTTGAGGAGAAAGCCAGTGCAGGTACATTAATTCTTTTGTGTATAGGACAATATATTATGTAGATGAAGTCGCAATAATTACTCAGCCTTTTTTTTTTATTTTACTATGCAGGGTTATGATATTAGTTTTCTTGTAACAAATTATCATTGCGAGGAGATGCAGAAGCACAAGCTCATCGATTTCATTGTACAGTTCATGGAGGCAAGCATTTTCCCAAACCCTATAAAATTCCATGCTTAATAGTGTTTATATTCGTACGAGTTTTGAGTCACAAAAAAACTGGTCAATTTGTACATTTGAGAATACCAATTGCCTCTAGTTGGGATGGCGTAGGCTGTTTTTGGAGCATGCAAATTTAATCTCTGGAGCAAGTTTCTTATCGTTACACGGCTCGAAACTCGTATGATATTATCGACGTGTACACGATTAATAGTGTTTATATTCGTACGAGTTTTGAGCCGTATAATGTTGTGTTCGAATTGTTAACTCTCAATTGCTTCTTTGGGCTGCAGGATATTGATAAGGAGATAAGTGAATTAAAGATGTCAGTGAACACCCGGGGGAGGCTGGTTGCCACAGAGTTTCTGAAACAATTTATGTAATATTTCTGTCACCAAGTTGTATATGAATTCTGCTTTCACATACGCTGTTGAACCATCAGACAATTTTTTCTGTTACCGTCTCATAACGGTTTGCCAATGGTATGAAAGAAGCTTTGGAAGTGAGTTGCTTTACATAGCCCATATGACCAGTATTATCTATGTTATAAATAGGTTCGTGTTTTAATCACAAATGGTCTCTGTAATTACGCCAAATGCATTTATTCACTCAAGTCAAAGACCGAGATGTTCATCGATGTCGTCTTCTTTTCTGTTTAGATTTCGTGAAAGCGTGTTAGTGTTTTCAATCACGGACTTCGGTTTTGATTCCGTCACAGTTTGTTTGTGTGCTCACGTGCCACGCGTGGGGCGAATTGACTGTTGAGTATTAAGATTCTCGACTTTCTTTGTTTTTGAATATTTTATTAAAATATATGTTTCATGTATGTATAATTGTTAGTCTTCTAAGTTCTAACATAACAAAAAAGTTAAAAAGGCAGCCGTGTAATCTCACAAAACAAAATTTTAATATTTTTTATTTAAGTTTCACCTACCGGTGATTTTAACGTCTCAAATTTTCTCTAATTTTATAAAATTAGAGGAAAAAAATAAAAATAAACCTCTCCCCACTCCCATGTACTCTCTCTCTCCTCCTCACCTTTTAATAAAAACAAAATTAAAAGGAAATTATTATTAGTCATTCAAAAATTTCATTCGACACTCCAAACTTTCTATAATTAGAAAGAAAAATACACTTATGAGGAATGTAGAATGAAATTTTTGAAATACTAATAACAATTCCCAAATAAAAAATGTTCAGTTGCATTGTCTACCTTTTGCCTTCCGTTATTACAAATCTTTCAATTGTTATAATATAATGAGTTTTTTAGAATAGTAATAACAATTCTATTAAGTAAAACAATAAAAAGGGCCAATTGCCATGTAATCGTGTGACAAGAAGCTAGTATTTTATAAAATCTCAGGTATAATGTACAAATATGTCTTGACTGAGCTGATACCTATGAAAAGCAACTACATAAGTTAGTTCTTTCTTCAAGTACATATATACACACATCTCCCAGAATCTATCATTATACATACAACAGCGACTCGATTCTTCACTGAACCATAACAAGTCCTGCTAGAGTTAGTATATCGTGGCACGCCTGATCGTAGTTGCTGCAACGCAAATTCCAGCAAACCAACCGGACTAGCACATCGGTAGGATATGACACAGATACGATAAAATCTGGTCAAATGAGAGCAGCAACTCAATATGTAGTTGTATAAAAGCATAGCTGCTGCAATTGTACCAAAGCAGAGCAGAGATCACTATGTACCTTTCTGTTCTTGTATCTACACATGCTATTAAAACCTGTACCTGCTGAACTGAACTTTGGATGCAGCCCAAAGCCGATCAGTCACATGGGGGCTGGCCTATGAAGCACCGTTCACGACAGCAGGAATAATTCCTTGTGATGCTTAGGCATCGAAAGATTCAAATGCAGCTTGCCCGACTGACACAATTTCGCAGGGTTCTTGTATACCGAGACCCTTGCAGCATTATTACCCAACAAAATGACATGCAAAATGCTGAAAGCTTCACCTTTTTCAACTGCGAATTGCCACTCCCTCATTGATATGCGAAACCAGTCTTTTGTCCGGAACTGGGTTGCTTTAACTTCAATGAACTCGGTACTATCTTCCTTCTCCCCTATAACTATGTCATAGGGAAGCCCGGTTTCGTTACATTCATTGACCCACTTCACAACAGACTTTCCAGCTTTTGCTATCAAGTATTTAAAAGCAACAAGCTCACCTAGTCTCCCGGTCAGCATCGCATCTCTTCCATCTCTTCCACTGGATGTACCAGCATGTCTAGGTTGGTCTCTTTGGCTAAAACTAGACGAACGCATCTCAGGAGGGTCAGAAACAAAACCTAAGTTAAAAGGATCAAATTCAATACGCATTCTATTGTCAGTCTCATTGCAAGCTGCGCCATAATGTTCTTGCAGATCATTGGAGTCTGGCATAACTAAAGCCGCAGATGTCGTTGCTGAATCATCTTCAATGGTCCAATTAATGTCAACTGAACCTGGAGTCAAATCATCCAACTGTCCGATAATGCCACGAGAATCATCACACATTTCTTTTTCCAAGGCACTGCTAAACTGTGCAACCGGTGCAGTTTTCCAATCAACAGGTGGCCACTTTATTGCTTTCCTTTTGGATTTTGAACAGCTTTCCTCATTTATTTCTGTCGAAGTTACACTACTTTGGAGTGACTTGTAATTGTCTGTCAATGAACGCATTGATGGCAGGGACCAAACAGATTCTCCGCCAGAAAGTTTCGGCACCTTTTGGCTGTTCAAGATAAAAAACTCTGTCTGCTCCTCAGTTGAACCTGATTCAGCCATGGTTGTGATCATATGAAGGAAATTTGCCAAGTGTAATTCTGGAATTCCGTCAAAAAACAAACGTGATAGCTCCACAAAAAATGCGTGTGAATCTGGCTCTTGGGTCGTATACAATGTGCTACCCTGTATTTATAAGATGAAAAGAATTATGGCTTTGAAAGAGAGTTTCCATGTCCCCATTATGCAAGTATCACAAGTGCTTGGTACAAAATCTTCCGAATTCAAAAAGCATAACCATCAACATTGTATTAGAAAAAGATTTACATATTATGTTACCAACATGTTATGATTTCAAGGGCTAATTTGTTAACATTGTAAATATCAGTATTTTGAAAGGCAGTCGAGAATCTCCTGACCCGTGCCTCCATTTAGAAGTTTCCTAGGAATGCAAACGCCTGACTGTGGCCAAGTTTTGTTAATTGTTTTGCCTTTCACCTAACAGTCTAATTTTTTGTCCTAAAAAAGGGCGTGTATAGCCACTTTGTCAGGTTTTAAGAATGAAACTGAATTCTGTACCCCCTTTTCTCTCCTTCCCAAATAGAATACCAGAACAAATTCTGTACCCTCTTCTCGGTCTGATCCAATTCCCAACTCTCTCTTGACGCTGTCTTCAATAGCTTCTCCTCCAACTCAAGGTCTCTTTTCCATTCTCCACAACATGGCGGCGATAACCTAGAAATTTTACCTCAATGCTAAATGATTGCTAATGTTTCTTAAGCTCCCAGACTTAGTATTAGCTATTCATTCCATCGTTTGTTTTAAGTTTTAGTTAGTAAACTTTTTAAATTAATTAGCTTAGGTCTAAAGGATTACACCTCAGCACTTACGCTTACTGCTGGCCTTTCAAACCATTGGTAAATATAGTGATCCCAGCCAACTTCTGAGTCAGTTTGTATTTTGGTATAAGCATATATGCATTAGGAACACACACACACACACACACACTTGATGAAAGACAAAAGAGAATACCTGCAGCAGACAGCTACATCTTAGCCTCTTCTTGGATTTAATTCCGAAACTCTTTATAACGTTCTGATAAAACAGCTTTTCAACAACTACTACTTGTAGACGATTTACTATATCAAATCCAAAGTGCTTGAGTTGTGTATATTTATCAGGGTGTACACTTTGTAAGTAGCGTTGTGCATATGGAAGAGCCCAATCCAGCAATGCAGCTTTAAAGCTACAATCTCCCAGACCAGAAAATATTGTGTGACGAGTTACAGCCTGCATGCAAATGCACAAAGTGGAAAGATGACAATTACATTTCTATCAAGTGTACACTGTTTCATCTATTTATTTTCCGCATTAATTTTGCAATATATGAAATCCTAAATCTTGTAACAACATATCTTTTTACAATGCAGATAAGCGGAGGGTTTCTTCAAACAACAAGGAGCTGGGTCAACTATTCAATCAAATGAAATGGAGCATGTCTTCTCATATAACAATATAACATAGTAACAATGCATGGGCAGATGTAAAAAGTACAACGTTTAAAATTCTTTTACTTTGAACTTCAAAGCATTTTGCTAATGATTCAGAGACGCACATAAAACCAAAGATATCTCACCTCTGAAAGTGCAGGAATCCCTAAAGCTTTCAAGAGAATGGAAACTTTCTTAAATAGCATCTCTACATCATCGTGACTTAATTCACCGAAGTATAAAAAATGAACGCCATCCAAATGCATAAACTGCTGTCTTAACATCAAATCATCACACCAGCAGACAAATCCAAAGGAAGGATGTAGAGAAACCCACTTATCTTGCACAGTAGGAAGCACCGTGCATTCAATCTTCGTAAGAGACCCTTTCAGATAAAGAATATCTTCAGCACTTGATCCTGACTTCAACCCATCAGTCCATTTGAGGAGAACTCGAAAAACCTGCAACAAGGAACTCTTACATCACCGTGCAGCTTGCACTAGTTATAATATTTCTACAAACTCGATTACTTACAGCATTAGCTGCTTGTGAAGGCAAAGCAACATTTGTTAAATCTAACAAAATCTGAAGGTAGCTCCGAAAAGGTGGGGTCTCATGTACTCCAAAGTGACCAACAAAGAAGTCATGAAGGCCTGGGTAGATATTACGAAGCATCTTATTTAAGGGGATGTGATTGACAGCTGTTGAGCTGCACTCAGGACGGACCGCCTTGATAAAGTTAGAGGAATCATCCCAATATACTTCTTCAGGGGACAAAAATACACCAGACACCACATCCTCGTGACTGAAGCCAGATTGATATGGAACAAATATGGAAGGTCCAGAATGGAACTCGTCCATAATTATCTGCTTTGAAGGAGCCATTTCATTCCAAACTAATGAGTAAAATTTGAACATTTGTGCTAGGCTGAGACAGAAGACAAGTAAGTGTGGTTCAATATGGGCACAAGCAAGGAAATTAACAAATAAAAGAGGAAAGGAATGCGAACATACATGAATCTCACATGTCAAGCATAAAAAAAAAACAAAAAAATTGAGAAACTTTTTATGTGGAATTTTCTAAGCACACTTTGGAAACTGTACAGAATAGCACAAAGTCTCACATGTCTACTACAATCAATAGAGGTCAAGACTAAGCTCGGAGCAGAGTGCACTAGTTCTGATTTTATTTAATAAGAAAAAGATATCTTATCCCTTCTGAAAAAGCTTTAGAAAACTACATCGAGAGAATACGATGACTTGGTAGAGATAAACATAAGGTAAAAATGTAACACCCCCAATTGAGATTTGGAAAAAATACCCCTTTTGGGAGGCCCAAAAAGTCTTTTGCCCCCTTTTTAAATTTTATAGACTTTTTCAGGTGCGAAAAGTCTTAAGTGCCCTTGTACCTAGGTTTAATTGTTTTCAGTCTCCCTTAAATTGCTTTGAAACCTAAGTGTTCTGAACAAGACAAAGTCTGTAAACTGTCCTACTTCCTCTTGAATTTCTCACTGATCAACTACCCGAGAACGATTGTGCTTTTATCTCTCACGTAAAACCAAAGAAAAGGCAAACTTACGGCGTTGCGCCTCTTTCCAGGTTCACCAACGAGTAGTCACCTCGACGAGAACCCACTACCTTCCTCCTTCTCCCTCGAGGGGACGTTGAGAAATGTTTGCGAGATCTCTTGAGGTGATGTTGAGAATAACTTGAGGGTTTTTCGAGGAGATGTTGAGAAAACCTCGAGGGTCTCTAGAGGAGAATGTCGAGAAAAGCTTGAGCTGTCTCAAGAAAAAAAATACAGGGCCGCCGTCTTGCTTAGTGGGGGCGTCGATTCAAGTGTTGCTTTCTACCTCCTCCACGCCGCCAGTCACTCCTTCACTACCTTGTACATCAAAATTTGATTCTAATTTTCTTCTTAATCTCAAACCAATAGATCTGAAACTTATCCCTATCTATGTTGTCCAATTGTTCAATATGTATATATATCCTTTGTTGCTTTGGTATGGATCTTTTTCTTGCGTTAATTTCACTTTCATTCATAAGGATTCGACGTAATTGTGGAGTGCCGGCTGTCGACTACCTGACGCCCTCCCCCTCCTCCTTTACCCGGGCTTGGGACCGGCAATGTTAATTTCACTTTCATTGACGGATGAAAATCAAAAGCGCAGCAAACTCCAAATTTTTTATAAGCATAGATTATAGTGTGATGGTAAAACTCCAGGACAAAGTCAGACTACCAAAAAGGCACAACAATAATATGAACTTTGTGATGGAAACTCGAAACTTTTATGCAGGTCAGTCGTAGAAACAAAGATAGATAAGAACAATGAGAAGCAGAGGCGTTTTGTTTGTCTCGTTCCAGGTAGAAAGGGAAATAGGTGTGACGCCTAGGTATAAGTGTTGTGTCACGGGCTCCATAAGTGTCCACTACTAAGGCTGCCATGCACCAATATTGTCCCACTTAACCACCTAAGCCCAATATCCTGGGTGGTATCAAGCCCAATGGACCTTTGGTGTGAGGTTTTATCTCAAAAGACCTCAGGGCAATTAGAAGTGGAACACCTATATTTAAACCTCAGATTAATGTTGTACTTCTCCGATGTGGGATTCCCTTCACATCCATCTTTAGCTTGTATCGGGCCAACTTTTTACACCAATAATAAGGGCACTAAAGTTTTTGTGCATGCAAAAAAGGGCAGAAATCTATAGATTTTAAAAACAGGAGCAAAAGACTTTTTAAGCCTCCCTAAAGGGGCATTTTTCCAATTTTCTCAATACCTTTGTGACCGGAAGGTCACTGGTTTGAGTTGTGGAAATAGCCTCTTTGCAAAGAAAAAGTAAGGCTGTGTACAATAGACATTCCCCCCAACCCTCGCAAGGCGGGGAGCCTTTTGGGCTCGGGGTCGCACTTTCTTTGTATTCCCATGTTTTTCACTTTTCATCCATAATGAGGCTCATGGAAAAGGGGTAGAGGAAAACCTAAGAAGACATTTAAAGAGGCTATAAGAAAAGATATGGAATACTTGGATCTAACATAAGACTTGGCGCAAAACCGAGCACAATGGTGTTCTAGGATTTATATAGTTGACCCCACTTAGTGGGAAAAGGCTTGGTTATTGGTGTTGTATCCATAATGAGGAATAATGGTTTAAACTACCATTTAACTCCATTGGATAAAATTGCTTTTTATGACGAAATAAAACATAGCTAAAGTGATACTTGAGAACTCATAAATAAATCCCTTTGAAAATGAGTAGGGACTTTGCCAAGACACAAAAACTAAGAATCACACAATCATTTTCTTTATTAGCCCCACCAGCATGGTCTTCAGAGGAATTCTAATCCGACATTAACCCAGACCCAGTAACCTGTGGCTGACATCGGTGATCTTTGCTAAAGTTTAAGTTTAACAAAACATAGTGTATGCTTACGTATTTTATTTTGATCCAGTTTCACTGATGATAATGGTTAACCCCGAAAAGGTAGATTACGATATAAAATACCAACGACTGCACTTCCAGATAAACGAGGGAGAAAAAAAGTAATCAAAGCATACCTGGCCCTGAATGGTTTCTCACACCTCCAGAGTTTCAAAATCTCAAGAACATCGCCAAGAGAGATTCTTGTCTTAAACCCAATATCACTTGCAAACTTTCCACTTCTCACCTGTTTCAAAGAGAAAAAGGTAGCACAATCAACAATACAGGAATTTTTAAACGACTTTAGAGATTTCAACATAGCTGAAACTGTGATTGATAACAGAAAGATGAATAATGGACAACAAAAACTCTGTATAGTTTAAAGCTTGTTACTGGTTATTTGGTTTGAAGCTTGTTGTATGATACATCTTGCATTATAATAGAAAATACTGCAGTAGATGTCACACAACTTACAAACAAACAAAAAATATTTTTGTATTAATGAGTTAATTACATATATGTTTTCTCTCTCTCTCTCTCTCAAAGAAAAGAAACTTTCAAAATTTTTTGTTTTTTGTATCTTCTCACACTTACGAGGAAAAGTACATGACCTAATGTTGAGAATATAATTCCCACATCAGGAAATTCCATTTTCTAAGCGTTGCAATGCAACTTATGAAACCCTGGGTTCTCCACAAATTACCAATTAGTCAACATCACAACTGTAACATAGTCTCTTGAGATCATATTTCTATGACTACAAACATCCCAATGTATGCTGCTTTCATGTCTAGAGCTCACTAGCAATGGGGAAAAACCCACACGTGTGGGGAAGTGTTAGAATATCAAAACAGATGTTCGCTCACGTCCTGACATCATACACTTCTCAGAACAGTTGTAAAGTTAACAATCAAAATTATTGCTGACCTTGCATCGTAGCAAACAATTTATCTACGTCTGAGACTCATCTTTACCAGAGGTGTTTTGTGTCACCCAACATAATTAATGTATATGTTTTTCCCAATCTGACCACAAGGGAGGAATGCCCAATCAAATAAGAGAATATAACTAATAAGGGCTTAAGAAACTTTTGGATTACCCATAAACATTTGTCAATTTTTTTTAACAATTAAGGACATAGTTTAAACTTTCTCTAACAATTAAGAACATGGTCGACGTAGATAAGTTTGCAACTCACGTACCAACAATTGGGATTTTTTTTACAGGTTTTGTCCTCGGTTGTAAAAACAAATTTACTACAAGTTATTAGGAAAGTTAAAAATTTGGCAGGGGCCTAAATGTCAAACTCCATTCAAATATTCCAAGTCTTGCATGTCAGTGTATGAAATCATCGGCTTTTCCAACAATTGATCCACGGTTGGATGCTCCAAATTTAACATCTTAGAACTGGAACATCTTTTTTCCTAAATTTCTCAAGCTAGTAATCGATTACATGGGTCAACTTAACATGAAAAACCATAGGAGAAAAATAATACGGTGAAATCCCTTTAAAGTCATAAAGTTGGGACCAAACTAATTTTATATCTTTAGAGAGGTTATTACTTAGTAGAGGTATAGTTAAAAAAATATTATTTAGTGTCTTATTTATCCTTCATGAATGTTGTATTCCCTAAATAAGATTCTTGATGATGATAGTATGGAAATACCAAAAGTTTCATGCCAAGAAGCTATAAACATGCTCGAAAAGTTAAGAGACATTTTTGCTTCAACAAGAAAGTGTCCATGTTGACGAAGTATTACATACGTGCAAGCTCAAAAACGTGGCATCAAATCTAAAAACTAAAGCATTGTCTCAAACAACTTTAGAGAAATATTTAGTTCGTCTTAAACTTTTATTTGTGATATTGCAAATTTTTGTGCTCATTGACAATTATTACCATGTGGATGTGTGTTTCCTTAACATGGGAGTCGGTTAGAGACGTTTTGTATAGATTTCATATAGGGGAGAAAAGGATGCAATGAGGACTTATATTTAGACATTTTCATAATGACAACAACAACAACAACAACAACAAAGCCTTTTCCCACTAAGTGGGGTCGGCTATATGAATCCTAGAACGCCATTGCGCTCGGTTTTGTGTCATGTCCTCCGTTAGATCCAAGTACTCAAGTCTTTTCTTAGGGTCTCTTCCAAAGTTTTCCTAGGTCTTCCTCTACCCCTTCGGCCCTGAACCTCTGTCCCGTAGTCACATTTTCGAACCGGAGCGTCAGTAGGCCTTCTTTGCACATGTCCAAACCACCGGAACCGATTTTCTCTCATATTTCCTTCAATTTTGGCTACTCCTACTTTACCTCGGATATCCTCATTCCCAATCTTATCCTTTCTCGTGTGCCCATACATCCCACGAAGCATCCTCATCTCCGCTACACCCCCCACTTTGTGTACGTGTTGATGCTTCACCGCCCAACATTCTGTGCCATACAACATCGCTGGCCTTATTGCCGTCCTATAAAATAAAATTTTCCCTTGAGCTTCAGTGGCCTACGACGGTCACACAACACGCCGGATGCACTCTTACACTTCATCCATCCAGCTTGTATTCTATGGTTGAGATCTCCATCTAATTCTCCGTTCTCTTGCAAGATAGATCCTAGGTAGCGAAAACGGTCACTTTTTGTGATCTTCGCTAGATTGCTCCGGTCATTAGTGAGGATAAGTATATAAATGGATAGAGATAGGAAAGCAAACACAAGATGTACGTGGTTCACCCAGATTGGCTACGTCCACGGAATAGAGGAGTTCTCATTAATTGTGAAGGGTTTACACAAGTACATAGGTTCAAGCTCTCCTTTAGTGAGTACAAGTGAATGATTTAGTACAAATGACATTAGGAAATATTGTGGGAGAATGATCTCGTAACCACGAAACTTCTAAGTACCGGAGTGTGGTATCGTCTTGACTTTCCCTTATCTGTCTCATAGGTAGATGTGGCATCTTCTCTGGAAGTACTCTTCCTCCATCCAGGGGTGGTATCTGTAACTGGTGGAGATGCACAAGGTAATGTATCAATGTTCACTTGAAGCTTACTTGTAGTTTCAGGCTTGGTCAAGCGCGATACAAACCATGTAGTAGGAGTCCCCCAAGTCGCCGAGCTAGGGGATCTGCTGAAAGAGGTGACAGACAAGGTAAGCAATCAGAGCTCCGGCTGATTGTTCACATTCTCCCTATCTTGCAGGCAGCATGAAGGATAAAGAGAAGAAAAATGAGAAGAGATGATATGGGATACTTTTGCTTTTGAAGAAGTAACTTTCCACAGGCTTATTCTTGAACTGGGCTGGAGGGTTTTCTGGTTTCCTCCAGAGTATAAGGCCGACTGAAGAATTTGAGGGTCAAAACAAGTCCATCAAATCTAGAGTACGTTCGACCCTGCTGATATGGGATACTTTTGCTTTTGACAGAGTAGTGGATGTATCGGCACGTGTGCTGTTACGCTTGTCTCCACATGCTTCCTTGTATCCTTCTCACTTGCCCTATCTGTTCCTCAGGCAGATGCGGTATCTTCCCTGGAAGCATAAGATGTTGAAGATGAGTACTCGAGAGCAATGCCAGGTAAGTAATCAGGTAAGGGGTTCCAGGCAGTCAGTTCCTGGCTGGAAGCTTGATTCCAAGTGCTGACTGATTGCTCTCTTTCTCCTTGTCTTGCAGGTAAGAACAAGGCCAAAGGAAAAGACAGGGAAAAAGCATGATATGGGATACTCTTGCTTTTAACCCTGATGATATGAGATATTCTTGCTCTAGTATAGCTTGTTTACAGAGGTATTATCGGGGGAAAGAAAGCTGAATATTTCGAAAGGCTTCGTTGGGAGTGCCCTCTCAGATAAGAGGAAAGGGTTGAGCATTTTTGCAGGTCTGCCTGTCTGTTGGGGATGGAGGTCGACATATATAGGAGTCTCCCTAACATCAAGTAATAATGCTATTCCTTTACCCTGCTTGGTCATAGCACGGTAGTGGGAGCTGCCAGCTTCACATGTTTTAACTCTGTCAGAGCACTTTGAAAAAGTGGTCTGTGGTATCTGGAAAGCTGATGTTGCGTGTGAAGATTACAGACAAGCTTTATCCAAGGAGATCCAGCTCTTGAAGTTGGGAAAGTGGTGCCTCTTCGGTTTTCGAACAAGCAATCCTGTCGAGGGATCTGGCTCTCGAGATTCGGAGAACGATGCCTCTTCGATTTTTGAGAAAGCAATCCTGCTGGGGGTCTGGCTCTCGAGATTCGGAGAGCGGTGTCTCTTCGATTTTTGAGAAAGTAATCATGTTGGGAGTTTGGCTCTCGAGATTCGGAGGGCGATGCCTCTTCGATTTTGGAGCAAGCAATCTTGTTGGGAGTGTTTTCTCGAATGTGAGTAAAGGTTGGGCATGTTTGCTAGTCTACCTTGCCACGAAGCACAGAGGTTGACACACAGGGACTTTCCAATTATCCAGCAGTGGTACTGTTCCTTTACCCTCTTCGATTTTTTAGAAAGTAATCATGTTGGGAGTTTGGCTCTCGAGATTCGGAGGGCGGTGCCTCTTCGATTTTGGAGCAAGCAATCTTGTTGGGAGTGTTTTCTCGAATGTGAGTAAAGGTTGGGCATGTTTGCTAGTCTACCTTGCCACGAAGCACAGAGGTTGACACACCGGGACTTTCCAATTATCCAGCAGTGGTACTGTTCCTTTACCCTTGTGGGTAATAATATGGTAGCTAGACCTTCAAAATTTATGTGTCTAAACTTTGTTAGTGTTGTTTCTTTGCTATTCTTTTACCCTTCTTGGTCAGAGCGATGTAGTGGGAGCTGCAAGCTTCACGTGTCTCAACTTTGTCAGAGAACTTTGGCAAAGTTATATGTGGTACCCATGAGCTACTGTTGCTTGTGGGAAGTGGGTGATTGAACAGTACGATTCATGTGCTTTCTACTTCGCCAGAAATCTTCAACAGAATGCCCATAATTTCCGCAAAGCTGAGTGCGTGTGACAGGTGCTGACAAGGCTGGAAAAGTCGGTGCCTCTTCGATTTCTGAGATCAGCCCTCGTGGTCTCTGAGCAGCCCAGCTTTTGAGAAAGCAAGCCTCTTCGATTTCTGAGATCGACCTTCGTGGTCTTTGAGCAGCCCAGCTTTTGAGAAAGCAAACGCCTCTTCGATTTCTGAGATCGACCCTCGTGGTCTCTGAGCAGCCCAGCTTTTGAGAAAGCAAACGCCTCTTCGATTTCTGAGCAGGCGCCTCTTCGATTTCTGAAGCTTCGTCGAGTGCAGATTTTTATAGGGGCTGACATTAAGTTCCAAAGCACACTTGAATATCCACCAGTAGAAGCTCCATTCTTGCACTTCTAAGATCTTGATTTGTCCGACCTCTTCTCTCTTCAACACCTTTGAAAATGTCTGGCCCTCCGACCGTCGTTTTGACTTGAACCTTGTTGAAGAGGCAGCCCCGCCTTCTCCAGACAACATATGGCGCCCATCCTTCGTCTCCCCTACTGGTCCTCTTACCGTTGGGGATTCCGTGATGAAGAATGATATGACCGCTGCGGTAGTGGCCAGGAACCTTCTCACTCCCAAAGATAACAGACTACTTTCCAAACGGTCTGATGAGTTGGCTGTTAAGGATTCTCTGGCTCTTAGTGTTCAGTGTGCAGGTTCTGTGTCTAATATGGCCCAACGCCTATTTGCTCGAACCCGCCAAGTTGAATCATTGGCGGCTGAAGTGATGAGTCTCAAACAGGAGATTAGAGGGCTCAAGCATGAGAATAAACAGTTGCACCGGCTCGCACATGACTATGCTACAAACATGAAGAGGAAGCTTGACCAGATGAAGGAATCTGATGGTCAGGTTTTACTTGATCATCAGAGATTTGTGGGTTTGTTCCAAAGGCATTTATTGCCTTCGTCTTCTGGGGCTGTACCGCGTAATGAAGCTCCAAATGATCAACCTCTGATGCCTCCTCCTTCTAGGGTTCTGTCCAGTACTGAGGCTCCGAATGATCCCCCTCCGGTGCCTTCTCTTTCTGAGACTTCTCCTAAGCAACCTTTGTGAAGGCTCCCTCTTGTTTGTTTATTTTGACTCAAGTATATGTACATATTTGTAACTTATCGGGGATATCAATAAATAAGCTTTCCTTCATTTCAACGTATTGTGTTAAATACACCAAAGCCTTCTTCGCTAAGTTCTTTGAATTTTCTTTTGTTGAAGCTTGTATGTTGAAGCTTTGTGAGTGGAGCATGTAGGTTGAGGTAGTGTTCCCTTAATTTCCCGAGTGAGGAAAACTTCTCGGTTGGAGACTTGGAAAATCCAAGTCACTGAGTGGGATCGGCTATATGAATCTTAGAACGCCATTGTGTTCTGTCCTGTGTCATGTCCTCCGTTAGATCCAAGTACTCTAAGTTTTTTCTTAGGGTCTCTTCCAAAGTTTTCCTAGGTCTTCCTCTACCCCTTCGGCCCTAAAGGTGGTGGGAGCTGGAATCATCAGGGGATTAATCGTACAAATATTTTTAGGGTTTAGATAGTAGATTGGGAGACCAAATCCTCCGATTATATATCATCAGCTATAGGATGACGTTACTATCATAATTTTCAGTGTGGCTGTTGTTACTTTAAGATCTCTATTAATTACTGTTTTTGTTTCTGGCTTCTGGACTTCTGGTTCACTGATAGTAAATTTTTGTTTTAATAAATTGTTTCTTTTCCAGGAAAAATAAAGGAAAGGCAAGTTTGAGTGTACCATGTTTAACTAACCTTTGGAACAGAATATGGAGCAGATGCACCCAGAATCGAGCACACTGCATGACAGCCGTGATACAAAGTTTTTGGATAGTGAAGTTCATCATCCATTGTTGATACTACCCATTGCACATCACAGATACTGCTTATAAATGAAGATCTGAAGGGCCATCTATCAGCTACAGATTTAGAAATGCAGTAACCTATTGTTTTATCACTGTAGCAATCATCCCATAATGTATCGAGAACCTCTAAGAGATACTCACAACCTTTTTTGTCGTCATCTCTGGATAATTGGGTCAATAACTGGACTAATTCAGGTGACTCCCAATCAGTGGCATTCAATCCAAGGGAAATGATGTCCTTATTGAACATCAACTCATTCAATAAAGCATCGGATAAACTACTGATTCCTTTCTCAACTTGAACTACTTTCACAAAATCTGTAACACCAATTTTCTGGAAAAAATCCCTCCATTTCATCAGTCCACTTGGGAGTGATCTGGTGGCAGGATGCTTCAGATAGGAGATGTCAACCTCATGCCAAACCAGATCCACTCCATCAATCAATTTATTTATGTCAAATGGGTTTCCAAATGCTTTACTGAAATGAATTGATGCTTCAGCTGGTCGTTTAAAGCCGCCATTTGTTAATATATATGCTTTGTTTCCTAGTTCTGAGATTATGTATTCCCTTTCAGAACGACAATCATAGCAGTCCGACTGTAGGTGAACCATTACAAAGCAAATATAATCAGTCATCAAATTCTTATCACTGTCCGTAAACCTGTCATCAGATATATCCGGCAAGATGTGCTCCTTGATAATTTCATGTGCGGATAACTGTTGGACACCAATCCTACGAAGCATACTTGTAACTTTGTCAGATGTCGTCACATCCATGGATGGCACATCAGCACATGATGCAATGAGAAAGCCAGGATTTACAATCCGAAGTTTAGCATACAAATCAGGAAAAGACTCGAGTCCATGCTGACCCTCAAACTCAGTCTTTAAGGCATCAAAATGTAACCAAATTGGGCCTTCATCCACTGCACCGTATGTACCATCTGAAAGAGGAATGAAAGGAATTTTTCGAAGGGTATGTATGAATTCCATTTCTATTCCCGATTCAAATGAAGCTTCGACAGAAGAACTGAATGACATTGCATAAAGTGCACTTAGCCAGGTGGCCAGCCAACTCAGTCCCATTGATTTGAGGCCATTTTGTTTATGACATAAAGAGTCCATAAGTTGAAGCAGAACTTTGGGTCCATACTCACTAATACCTAGAACTCTTGCGAGCGGATCCGGCAGAAGTATATTTTTATCCAAGAACCCAAGGCCAAGATGCTCACGCAGTAAGGCATCAGGGAGAAGCAAACGAGCCTGTTTATTCCAACCTCTTAGGACTCTGCAAGGAGGAACCCATTCATTATTTCCCCCTTCCATGAGTAAGCAATTCGATGCTCGTAATTTTGCAGTAATCAATCGCGGAAGAGGAGAAAAGAAACCATGCACTTCACCCACAAGCGGAACAAAGGACATATAGACTGTCACAGCTCTCCCGGGATTCTCTTTAAAACATGGAAGAGAACAAAATGATTTCTCTGCATTGACAAACAAATCAGGAAATTCAGACAACAGCCACTGGTTCCAGGGACTATCTCCATCTACTTCCTCTCTAGATGAAGGAAGAACAAAATCACCCTGAAGAATAAATTTCAGTCCATATGTTCTGAGAGGTAGATATGAAAAAACAGGCTGTTGGATTAGATCGGAACTGTAATCACCATTATCTGATTCCTTCAAAGTAAATGCAATTGAGATTTCTGTTGTCTGTACATCAGTACGAATGAAATCTGCTTGCAATTTCTGAGAAACTACAAACCATGTCATGTTCTCTTTTCCACATGAAATCTTAACGATACCATCTCCCACAATATATTTTCTCATGACTGTAAGGGTATTATCGAGCAAGTTTCTAAACTTTATACACTGGAGGCGGTGGAGAAAGAGCAGTAGAGATGGATGAAGATCTGAAAACATATTAATTATGTTTATCATGACAGTTCCATCTGATACTTTTGATCTGAAAGGAAGAACAATGCAAGTGTTCCAGCTGTTACAATCCCGTTTATCATTGTCAATAGATGTCAGGCTGCTAAACAAGTCAATATTGCGAGGAGGTACAACTGTGGGCAAAATTAAACCAATCTGACCCTCACTTATATCAAACTTTATATGAAAACCATTGGAATGTATTTCTGGAGCATCTGTAACCTGCACAAAGACAACAGCATAATAATGAAACCTCAATACAAGGTATTCAGATTGTAAATTCCTTATCCAGTCATAGTAAATATTTCTTCTTTTCTAATAAAAGTTCTGTTTCTTTTCAAAGAAAACAAAATAAAATTAAAGATATGCTGAAAAGCATAGTAGGTATGCTGAAGGCTGTAACCGTGTTGAAGTGCTTTTTTGGCCTCTTTTTTGGGTGGTATAAAAATAATAGAAGAAACTATGTAATATGGAGCAGGAGTTGACTTCCCGAGCAAACTGGATTCAAATCCTTGTTTCTTGGATGCAGTACTCATGTTATATGGCCAAAACAAAGTTCGATGAGGAATTATTTTGCGGTAAGTATTTTAGGAAGGAAGAAAAGTATCACTTGGTGAAATGGTATTGGGAACTTGCCAAGGACAAATGAAGCTCACTCACATTAGGATTTTGGAGGTTCGAACAAGAGAGTGAGGGTCTTCTGGGTTGCTGTTATTAGAAGTAAGTATAAGTTGCATGAGGATGGGCGGGACAAATTGTCCTACATTTTAATGCTTAGCAATGCTTTACAATCATAGTTGAGTAGTCGAGCTAGACCAGTGGACAACTTGCTTCCTGTCTTGAATTGTTCTTTTCTAGTGAAGGCTATTCTGACCTATTAACAATTATAAAGGCTGTTGATGCCTAGAGCAACGATCCATGATCTGGCTCTAAACTTTATTCAACTTAATTACTTGCAAACTTTCAGTGAAAAAAATACAAGCCCGAGCATCTCAACAACTACAAAATCAACGTGATTGCGACAGAGCGGGTACATGAGAACAAAACAAACAGAAACAATTGATTGAAAGCATCCAAAGTTTTTATGTATAATGTTTTAGAGAGAGAGAGAGAGAGACTAATGTAATGTTCACAACCTACCCGAAAAACTGATTTGAAACCAATGCCCTTCTGCCCTATGTATCCAGCATTAGATCCTTTCTTGGTTGAATTTCCAACATCACATAGTGCCCTAATGTTCTGGGCAGAAAAGCCCCGTTCATTATTCAAAACAAGAATACCTGAATCTTGAAGAATGAATGTTAGAGTTGGTTCTACATTTGATGGGTAGGTATTATCATCAGCGTTTTGAACCTGCAGCGATAAAGAATAATTAGGTGCAACTCAAACACAATAAGCATATCAGAGGATTGTTTTCAACTCCAGACTCTTACTATAGCATCAAACATATAAAGATGGTAGAAGATTCAAATTGTAATTTTATAGTATCCACAAAATATTACTGATGAAATATGCTACATACAAAAAGATCAAAGAATAAACAGATATACTATAGAAACTCAGTAACAGTGGTCTTGCAGATATTGATGTCTGTCCATTAAAGGTAACACCACATTAGTAAAAAGGAAAATCAGGTATGTCAAGCACGCTCATTTCTAATATTCTACAGCAAGAAATCCATACGTTGAAGATCTATGCCACCTGCAGGGACAGACCACCGCCAGTAGGGATGGGAAATCTACCATTTAACTGAAAAAAATTCTTAATGATTATAAAATTTAGGCAGGTCCAGTTTATTGGTAAAAAATTCCTCAACCACAGTTTGAACAAACCTTACCGGTCAGAATTTTTAGAATTTAAACATACCTATTAACGCTGGTATGAACCTATTAGTTGTTGCATGGGGAGAACTATTAAGTACACTAAGCACACTGAAAGAAACCAAAAAAGGCAGCCTTACCAGCTCAAGAAGAAAATGGGAATCCTGAGAATACAATTCCTGCGAAAGGCAATGCAGAGCTCGGCCTAACCGAGTGTGCTGCTTCTTTAGGATGATACTTTCAACATTTGACAGGCTTGAATCTAGACCAAATTCATCTCTCCTAATTGACTCGATTACCAGCACTCGATCTTCCAGTTCATTAAGTTCAGCATAATGCTCTGGGTAGCCACTGACAATTGTAGCTTCGGAAGCTTCTGCACAACTAATCTTTAGACAGGCTTCAGTACATTCATCTTTTTGCTTGTCTTCCATAACAGATGCACTCATAGTCCCTTCATAAGCGGCAAGCTTATCTGACACATCTTTCATATACTTTGAGTCTGACCCCGTTTTATGCCTAACAGCGAAGCATGACGACCCAGAAATGAATGAATCAGCAGCATCATAGGAACAAAATTTATGGAAATCATCAATCCATTCTATTATACCAAGAGATAAGCCAACTTCATGAAGCATGAGCCGCTGCTCTGTTTGCTTGCACTCACCCAAAATGGCTGAAGCAGCATGTTTGAAAACAGATTGCATCCCTGAAAGCAATACATCGGCAGCAAAACTACGAAACTCTGCAGGTAGATAGCCAAGACAATCAATGACAAATCTTGATAAAACTGATTCACCGATATTCATCCGAGTTAGGTCCCTGTGTAACTCATTACATAATTTACTTGTCGAACCTTCACAAACCATTTGCTTTCCAGAAAAATCTTTTTCTTGATTAAGAAAATTCTTACTGACTTTTACTTCCAGAAGATGATTCTTCAAAATGACTTCAAATGCATGCTGCAGATGAAATTTCAAAAGGGACACTGGGACATGTTTTTCTCCCCCAGATAGTGAGAACAGAGATAACATTTTCACTGCTGTTTGGAAAGACGATCCTTGAAGAGCAGCTTCCAAGAATGAACCTACAGTAGATGAATGGTCTAACCGAATCACTTTTCCATCCTTTGTCACCAAACACAGCAGTTCATCAGTGTTGACCTCATTCAATAACCATAGTACAAGTGGACCAAGAGAGGGAGCAAACAAGAGGTCCCAATGTGACCATAAGTTTAAATCCAACATCATTGGAGCTCTGAGTAGGACTTGAATTGCATCCTTGGAGGTTACAGATTCATGGGTTTTCGTTTTCTTAGAGTGCTTTGATGAGTCTATCGGGTAACTAGTTCCATATAATGTCATTGAAAATAGAATACGTTTGGAAATTGCAGTGCTTTTATGCTTCTCCACTATACTCAGAAAATCTTCTACAGAACTATTTTCAATGGTTTGGAAACTAATCAATGGAAACTGCTTCCTAAGCAGTAATGGAATATTTAGTTTGCTAATTTCTTCATCTTCCCATAAACTATTTATAGCTTGCGAAACTAACACAATCAAATAATGCTGGAGCATGCAAACCTCCAAAGGACACTTTTCACTTCCGTCACCAGTCAAGAACTTGCACAGCTCACGTGGAAGTAGACAGGCATATTTTTCTAAAAACATTAGAAATTCCCCAAAACCAAGGGACCTAAATTCCTTTACACGAAATTCTTCAACCAACCAAATTTCACAATTGCAAAGCTTTCTCAAGAAGATAAATATCTTCTCCTGAAGTGGCTCACCGCTGATGCACATTCCATGATCAAATTCAAAATATGTAGCAACTTTCCTGATTATGTCTTCAACTGACACACCTGTGGAGTATAATCACAAAATACAATAAGGCACACCAGTTCTGTAAAAGAATGCACATGTGGAAGGCCGAAAGGGTGCAAAACTGAAATAAGGGAAAGGTATGGTGAAAAGACAATTTTTTACTTGAAACCAGAGACAAAATTTTATTGCACAAAACTATGCCAGTACAAGGGCTGATCCAATATCCACAAAAACAAAAACAGAAACAGGATAATAAACAAGATCAGCCTGAAACTTAGAATCTAAAAGAAAACTCCACAAAATTAACAAACAGTAGCTTTCCAATTAAGAAGCCAAATCAAAATCTAAGGTAACTGATGCCCTTAAAATAATATGAAATAGTATAATTTTTATACTACTACATATATTAGACCATTACACACGGCAAATTTGGCTATGAAGTCAGGACTTGGCTAGTCAGTGTAGTCACACAGACTATTTTCACTCAGTGTAATGGTTTTTTACTTTATATTTTATGTACTCGGGTTCGAGACTTGGAAGCAGCCTCTCCATAAATGGGGGTAAGGCTAGCCGACATTCACCTCTCCCAGACCCTGCGTAAAGCGGGAGCCTTGTGCACTGGGTACGACCTTTTTTTATGTACGCTGACTCATTATCAACTTTGCTTGGTAGTTGACCGATTGTATAGGAAATGTGGAGAAAACAGTGTATAATTATTTTCTTTTAATCAAACTATCACAGATAATGTCACTCCTCAACCTTCAAACCTAAAGGAGGATGAGGTTTCACCATAAATCTTATTGGCAATATGGAGAGTAGCCCAATCCTTATAAGCACATGCAAGGTCCCTTAATTTCCCTAGCCCCTTCTCGTGTGGCGTCATTTAGACACACATGGACAACACATATTGAGTAACGTGGGTGGTCGTGGACCGTTGAGCTCAACACATGGGTAATCTGCCTTGATACCATAAAGGATGTTAAGGGTTCCATTATAAAACCAGTTGGCAATATGCAGACTATCCCAATCCTTATAAGCACATGCAAGGTCCCATAATCAAAGGCTAAGAAGGGCAAACATCATACTTAGATAACTAATTCATTTCCAAAATGAGATCAACGAGTCTCATGTCTAGAGGAATGAGATTGACTGTCTCTAGTCAACTAGACTAGTACACTGGCGACAATTCGCCGCTATCTCACAAATGAGCACTCAAATGCAGATTACGCAACGGTAGCTCCAGAGTTTATGGTCTTAATCACAATAGTCTTGAAAATATGGCAAAAATAAGTGTGTGATGCACCAGTATCTATTACCCTAGCTTCCGGATTAAACAAAATAACCTTACCATCTACCACAGCATTGACTTTCTCTTCCATCGCTTCTCCAGCAACGGCTACTTGACCACCTGCAGGTCCACATGCTACAAATTCGCATCCACTGTTCTGTGGCATTGGTGCTCTGTTCATACTCTGTTGTGGCTGGGGATGAACTGGAAATTTCCCAACATATCTGTTTGACTGAGCTGGGTGCTGAACCAATTCCAAGGGATCCTTTGGGGCCAAAGATGATCCAGTCTGTTGGAAGCAGTTCTTGTGAACGTGTCCAACTTGACCACACAGATAGCAGACTTTTTTTTCAAGAGGAGATCCTCTGGATGAGCCTTTGCCCGTGTTCTTTTTCTCACTCTTTTGGATTATCTTCTGCATACACCGGACTGGCTTACCAAGAACTCTCTGACGACGTCCATGAATTCTCAGACGACGTTGATGATCCTGCACTAGGCAGCGTGAGGCTGCCACAACATTGTCATAATCCATGGTGAGCACTCTCTTACGACGTCCATGAATCCTCTGACGACGTTGATGATCCTGCTCCAGGCAGTGTGAGGCTGCCACAACATTGTCATAATCCATGGTGAGCACTCTCTGACGACATCCATGAATTCTCTGACGACGTTGATGATCCTGCTCTAGGCACTGTGAGGCTGCCACAACATTGTCATAATCAATGGCTTATGAGTACCGTGTATTGTTGTAATAAGCATTTAAATTCTTTCCAAAGAATGTCTAATCAGAATGCAGAGTTGTCTTTAGTCAATTGGCCTAGAAATAAATGATTTGTTCCTGCTTCAATATTAATGCTTCCTATCCCTTTTTTTTTTTTTGTTATTCACCGAAGGATACATAGCAGAATACCTTTTTCTGCTGCACAGCAGTTATTTTGACTTACTCATGCAGCCATGCTAGTAGTCCTAATATAAAATCAATGAAGATTGAAAACATTTGAAACAGAAAAAGATTGCGTTATTAAAAAATAAATGGATGATGTAACAATGAACACATCATACCATGTATAAGAACAAAATCAAATTGCCCTTTCATAACAGCCATCATTTTTACTCACTTTGCTACTCCCTCATTCAATACTTCATTCTCTAAATGTCCTTAACCTATACTGTTTCTAATTTATTTTATTCAAATCTGATAAAAGAAAAAAATAAGCACGGAACCAAAATTTCAAGAAAGATACAAAACAATATAATAACCATTATTAGTAAAATATCAGACTACATAAAGCACATTACTCACTCTGAGTATGTTGGGTAACATGTTCAGTAATGACTGGCGGTGCATCCTTAATAATTGGTTCAACATCTGTGTTCAAATATTCAGAATATTTATCAGTAGAAGTTCTACTTAATTCGTGTTGGCCAATGGATTGGGATGTATCATACATGCTATCCCACATTCCACATTTGATAGATGAGACCTGAAAAATAAGTGCACACGCAACATCAATAAGAAATAACTGGAGGAACTCAAACAAACAGCAGTAATTAATACCAAAGAAGCAAACTTACACAAACAAGTACTACAAAGCTGAAACGATTGATAGAGATAACATAGAAAATTGGAAACTGTTAAGAATGATAAATAAAAGCATAAATGTCCTCTAGAACCACAAAAATGCATTTTTAAAAAACTTTCTTTTACTACATTTATTCTTTCTCTTGTAAACATAAGATGAACTTCAACGGCAGTTCTGTAACGTAATGAACTTTTCAAGGTAGCCTTCTAAATATGTTTTTGTAATGAACTTTTCAAGGTAGCCTTCTAAATATGTTTTTTTGAGAAGAAACTAAAACATTTTATTAAAAAAGAAAAGTGGAAATACACAGAAGTGGATAAGAAATCCACCAAGAATAAGCCTTCTAAATATGTAGAAAAACTAAAAGGCAAGATACAAAGTTAAGGAAAAGCCAATGACTGATGCAGTGCCTGAGCTAACAACTGTTGCCAGCACTAGCACCACACCTATTTGTAAATTAAAATGCGAGAGATGGGTAATGTTCTATTTCCAAATACTCAGGTATTATATTAATTCCTTAAGCCCTCAATAAAGAATCACTTATCACTGAATATTAAATTAAAATGCCAAGTATCAATTTAATATTGAGTTTAATTTACAGAGCACCAGTAGTACTTATGAGACTTATGCATAAACAAAGAAACAGGTATATCAGCTAGACTTCTAACATCAACCACTGAATATTGCCAAAAAAAAATACATAAATTTACATGCACAATATGTTGGAGACTGAATCAACCGAATGACTTACAGCAACATTCAATAATCCAATCAATGGGTCTGAAGCAAACATTCTGCTGATTTTTTTCGTCCTCTTATCATAACACTGAAGCATGCTCCAAAGTACCTACAAGCAACAGAAGCCAGTTGCTGAGAACGCATATCTGTAGAACTTAAATCAGAAGCATTACTCAAAAACAAAACTAGATCGAAATCCCAATATTTCTTGGATAAAGATGCTCAAAGAGAGGTTAGACATCTAATCATGCCCCAAATAAAAAGTATCCTCATTTTGCATCACAGATTCTTTTTTTTCTTTTTTCGAAAAGAGAATTTAATTGTTAAAGGGCAATAAAATTACATAGTACAGACAAAGTGGTCAAGAAAAAAACTCCTGATAGGCTAAAAAGAAAAGAGAAACAAAATCAGCTGAAACAAAAAGGCTTACCAAAAAGCAGAACTAACAAATACCAGTTTGCCAATTTAAAACAGATAATTGAAGCCCATAGTGCAAACTAAAAACAAACTCTTTCCCATAACTTTTCAACCCCTACACCAACACAATCTTCAAAAACCATTTTCTCTCTATCAAAACCACCCAGAACACAGCCAAAGCTATACAACCCCATATTAATTTGGCCTTCTTAACCTTCCACACCGGTTGTGGCTCTTATGGAGTAAGGAAAAGCAATCCCGAGGGATGATCCCACTTTTTTCATCTTCCTGAGAAACCACAATATCACAGGTAATAAGGAAGATACCATCAACTGATTCCATGTTCTTCTTATACAATGTACCCCAATGGGGGGACAGGCAAAACTTTGGTCTCCTTCTCTGACCACGCCACAAGTATTTACCATACCGTGAGTCACTAACCACTCTTTTCGCTCAATTTGAATTATTCCCAACAAATCCAAATGCGGCAAAAAATTCACAATGCCAAGGACTAGTGCCATAATGCCCAACAGCCAGAAAATAACAGTTTCTTGTCCAAACAAACCACACTACAAACATATAGAAACCTACTCCAAATTGGTGGAAGGAAAGAGCAATGCAAAGAAATAAAATCAGCTTCTATGCACATGCTACCAGCTCCTTTGCAACAAGACTCACCAACTCGGGGATAAAGATAGATATATATATATATATACACACACACATTTATATATATGCTGTCCTTTTCCAGCTCGGTAAAGTGCAAATAACTTACCAACTACACATCGACAACCATAGTGGCTGCACATCGACAGCTGTGAGGCTGAAGTATGGTCAGTCATAGGCCCATAAGTATGATCCCACATGATTTGTGATGGATAACAGTCCCCATAATCATGGTCCAGTCATAGGCATGATCTTCGAGGTAAGGGACCTCCAAAAATAAAATAGGACTCTTAATGGCACCCCTCCTCATGTCTCCCAAAGTCAAATGGCTAATTGACTTAATGGGCGGGATAATGGACCTCAAATCAGCCAATCGCCAGATTTCACTGGTCTTTCTTCGTTCCTGGAGTGCTACAAGTTTGAGGTGAGCAACGGGTAGAGGGTGAGGTTTTGGGAGGATGGTTGGTTAGAGGGTGGACCGTTGAAAGAGCAGTATCCTAGATTATTCTTGTTATCGAGATAGCACGACCAGAGCATTTCAAGTTTTGTTGCTTTTTGTCTTCAGTCATTGAGCTGGAATTCTGATTTCAGAAGAAATTTGAATGAGCTGGAGATAGCAGAGGTGGCTAGGTCATCACAGAAGGTGGAAAAATGTTCGTTTGATTCAATCAAGAGCAGATACTAGGTGGTGGAAACTAGACAGATCAGGATTGTTCACTTGCAAATCCTATAGCTCCTTCTTGTGCAACAACGGAACTGTGCAACATTTTCCAACCTTTTCTCAGATTTGGAAATCAAAAGCTCCTCCGAAAGTCAAAATTCTTGCGTGGATAGTGGCTATTGGGAAGGTCAACACCTGTGATCAAGTTCAAAGGTGAAGGCCTTTTACTTGCATTTGTCTTTATTGGTGCAGTAGGAGGAGAGTGTTAATCATGTTTTTCTCCATTGTTCTTACTCAATACAATTGTGTTGGAAATTGTTCAAGGAAGTTAGAGCTAGTTGGGTTATTCCAAAGGGTTGTTTCGAGCTTCCAAGCACCAACTTTGAGGCTTTAGGAATGGGGAGGAAAGCTAAAACTTTGTGGGGCTGTTTGGTGTTGGCAGTTTTTGGAAACATTTGGTTGGAGCGTAATAGAAGAGTTTTTGAGGATTATAAGGGAGTGAGGGTAGAAGAACTACGGGGTAGAGTAAGATACTGGGCAGCCCGCTGGGCATCGGTTTTGAATGAGTTCAGGGATTATTCTCTTTCTCATATAAAAAATCTGATGAATTCCCTATCATTTGGACTTAAGTTCCTTCTAAGCCTCAAGTTCTAAGAAATATCCTGAGGTGATGCTAGGCAAAGATTACCGCACTAGACCAATAAAATGAGTCACCATATCAAAAACCTTCCCAAAAACAAAATTTTACATTCCAACACCAAATTAAGACAATAAAAAAAGATAGTTCTAAATTCAATCATAGGAACCCTCGACAACCCCCATCCATTGGAATGCACCATACTTACACCCGATGATAGAACACAACATAGAGAATACTAGAAGTAACTTGAAAGTTTATCCCACAAGGGATAGTTGATAAGCCAGTGTAGCCCAACACTTTATGACACAATTTGGAAACTAAGGATAAAAATGTAAGTGAACTTATTTCAAATGTTTTTCTTTTTTCTTAAAATGCCATACATAGAGGATATAAGGATTTATAGTTACATTAACATGGAAAACCCTCTAGCATGTCATTCCTTACAATTATTTTGAATTGAGAAAAAATTAGTAAATCAATGAAATGTTCTATCAACTAGAACTTCATTTAAAGGTCTAAGAAAACAATATATGTAAGGAACTAACATGCATCTGACCAATATACAGGACATTGACAAGTGTTTGATCTAGACAGCAAAATGTATCTTGATACTAAGTTGTTCATATGACACAATAACAGCAACAACATACCTCAGTCACAGTCTGCTCCTTACATGCATCCTTCCAAGTTGTAATAAACTTCCTCAAAAAATCATTGGAAACTGAAAGATCAGTTTTAATCATACTACTGTCCTCCTCGGTTTCATGGTCATTCTTAGTAAAAAGAACATCATGTTCTACCTTGTCTCTCTTTCGTAATTTTTGGGGGACAGAGATGGGGCTGCTTAGATTTTCGCACTTTCTTTTCTTTTTTACGGACCCATTACCCTCATTATGCCTTTGGGTTCCACAAGCTGGAGAAGGGTGATTTGTTCCGTGCAAAGGTCTCTCTTCTATTGCAGAGACGTAAGTAGAGTTACTCACTTGGTCCGAAATTTTAGCAGATTGTAACGAAAAGTTAACCTCGGTGAATGTATGACCTTTATCTTTGTCATCTTCATGTAAAAAATCCTTACCACCTCCATCCTTTGAACTTGAAGAAACAAATCTATCTTTCTTGCCACAAAATTCCTTTTGTACAACAGAAAACAATTCAGCATGCTGAGAAATGTCACAGAAATGCTTGTCTAGCTGCTCATTCAATGAGGTAAGAATTGGTGCCTTCTTCTTATAGCGGCGCATTCTAACTTGCTCTTGAGATTTAATTAGAGCGGCACGTTCTAACTTCCTGCCTTTCCGAATAGAAGAAACGTGCACCCTATGATCATGTAGTTTACTTCAAACAAGAGCATTACAACATATAATTTTCTAGTACTTTCAAAGGACTAAAAACTTAAGTTATTCAAAACGCCTATGCACGCCAAATGTAATTTTAACCACTCAAAGCATCAAAGTGTATCAATCCAGTAGTCGCAACATTTTCTAAATATGAGCAGAAGGGAGGGGTTGTAAATCTTTTACCATACAAAATCATTACAATTATTAGACACAATGCCTATCTATCATAAAATAGAAGGAAAAAGATGTGAGACGTACCCCAAGCTACAAATTCGAATTCCGATATTTTCCTTGCTTGCAACTGATCGCCTCTTAACAATATAATCCAAAAATTCTTCAACAGAGACTTTACGTTTATGTTCTTGATAGAAGGTGAGTAAACATAGTATCTCCTCGCTAGTTATCTTAAACACTTCAGTTGTATCAGAACTCACTGGGAAATAATGCAAAACAAGGGGGTGACGGAACAAAGGGCCCAATCCCAGCACTTCAAACTCCTCAATATCCTCATTCTTGCAGATTGCAAGTTCCAAATCATACAAAGATGTAATTCTTCGAGCCAGAACAAAGCAATGGATAAATGAACTTATCTACATCACAAAAGAAAATGAGTAAAAATTAGAAAGATTTAATACATAAGAATACAAATTTGTATACATAATTTATGATATGTTCCCAACGCAGAACAAATCATTTCCAATTGCAAATGAAAGGACATTTATCTTTTCCATCAATTACATTCCTTTTCCCACACTTTCTAAGCAACCAAACCAAGTGTTTACACAATATATATATATACAGAGAGAGAGAGAGAGAGAGAGAGAGAGAGAGAGAGTGAGTGAGTGACTATTACCCTGCCTTCGGTGAGCATGAGGCGGTGAAGAGAAGGGACTTGATGCATTTGAAGCCCGAGAAGAAAGCTCCAGTCATCAACCTTGAGCGTCACAAGCGCAGACTGTAACACCTTCCACGCCGAGACGCTCCTTCCTGCCGCCACAAAATCACCGCGAGCCTTTTCGACTGCCCGATCGATCCTCTCCAGCATCTCTTTCAGGTTCTCACATGAAGTCTGAGGCCGAAACGCAGAATTTGGGAGCTGTTGAGGATCGACATTGGGTTTCGGGTTCTCAGAAGAGGTCTGGGGCTGAAACGTTGGATTTGGAAGCTGTAGGGGATTAAAAATAGGGTTTTGGAGCGGGAAGCTAGGGGTTTGGATTGGGAAATTAGGGTTTTGGAATATAAAATTAGGGAAATTGGGGTTGTGGGCAAGGTTGGGGGCAAAGGCGGGGTTTTGAGGATAAATATAGGATGAATTGGTGGGGTTTTGGTTTTGGTTTTGGTTTTGGAGAGAGAAATTGGAGTTTAGAGGTTGTGGGTATGATTGCTGAGGCGGCGGCGGTTGTCGCCAATCCCGTTCTCTGGCGGAGGGCGGTCGGAAAATAGAAGGGTGCCTGAACATGGCGGAAAGAAACAGAGTGAAACTGGACAGCGGTGGACATCCCTTTTATTTAAAAAATAAATAAATAAAAAAATAAAAATAAATAAAAAGAGTCTCCATGCGTTCCACGCGTGGCTCCCTCTCGTCTCTCCTGTCGCTGCACTAACGAGGTCGTCCAGGTGTCATTAATTTTGGTAAAGGATCCTCGTCTGGGGATCTAGATATTTCGTGATTATGATATATATCGTATAGTAAATTTTTGTTAAATATTATTTACATTTAATTTTAAAATAATTTTTAACTGCACGATGTATAATGAATGATCACGATAACGGGATCCATATAATCCCTAGGAAAATGATCGGATCCTTTTCCGATTTATTTTGTTGATGCTCCAAACTTTTAGACTTTGGAAATGCTGGGTGAAGACAATATTTGTTATCAAATCACATGACGTGACAATTATTGGATGAATATTTTTGATAATATTTTTAAAATATAAGACCATCTCCAATCCTGTGCTAAAAGCCAAATTACCCTCCAAATTACCCCCAAAACACTCTCCAACCCATGCTAAAATTTTAGGCTAAATGCCAAATGCTATTTCTGGGCCAAATACCCCCCCCCTCCAGCTTTCCCCCGGGCTAAATGCGAAATGTTTATCGAAATTTAAATTTTTTTAGATTAAAATGTTCATAAAATTAATTTACAATAATCTACATATTTATTTTTTTTTAAATTGATTTAAGAAAAAAATTTAGGCTAATTTCATTCTTTAATAATTCCGGGCTAAAATTTTAGGGTAGAAGGGTTGGAGCAGAAAAGATGTTTCTGGGCTAAAAGCTAAATTTTCTGGGCTAAAAAATTTGGCTTTTAGCCCAAGGGTTGGAGATGGTCTAAGGAAATAATTTGACCATATTTGTATGTTAAATTCTTTAATTATGAATCACATGATATGATTTACAAAATATGGGTTAAAGAAATGGTTTTTTTAGCATCACGCATTTCCTAAAACAAGGAAAATTTATTGGTCAGGAGCTATTCAGCGTTAGATGAAGGACCCGTTAACTCATTGCACTATCAACTTTGTGTTATAATTCTAACGCCATTTGGATCTTGCTCTTTGACTGTCTTTGGGTTTTTCACACATTATTCCAACCTTGCCGCACCCTATTTATAAGTATAAGGTGCGGCTCAGATGTCATTTTTCCACATTATGTTTCGTATTCTAAATGGACAAAGTACACTTTCTTTCCATTTCCAAATTATCTTATAGGATTCCTAATCTAATTGAACAAGGAAACTAAGATTCTTTCCTAGTTCTTTTAAGAGAAGAAACGGTGCATCCCTTACATTACCTACACAATCCTAAACAAAATAAGACACTAACTTGACCAGCCAAAATCCTAACAATCTCCACCTTGGTGAGTCAAACCAAGTCTTGACTGTTGCATCCCAGAGTATCTTCGAACCTTCTTGAAGTAGCACTGCAAATCTTCAAGAACCTTCACCTTGACAATCTTCTTCTTGCCTTCTTCCACCTCAAGTGAGGAGGTGCTCTACCTTAATCAATCAATGAGATTGATAAGTTCAAGCAATGCTTGAACTTATTGTCTGGCATTATCTTCATAAGGAAGTGTGTGATGAAATCACGTGATGTGACAGTTAAGTACTAAGAAATGATTGGACCATATTTGTAGATAAAATTCTTTAATTATTAATTGCATGATATGGTTTACAAAATATGGTTTAAGCAAATGGTCTTTCTAGCATCACGCGTCTCCTAAAACAAGAAAGATTTATTGACCATAAGCTAGGCAGCGTTAGATGAAGGACCCATTAACTCATTGCACTATCAACTTTGTGTTATGATTCTGACCCCCTCTAGATCTTGCTATTTTGATGTATCTGGCCATAGACAAAAACTTAGCAAAATAGAGAAAATCCGAAACACAAGATTTATACTGGTTCATCAGAATTTTTGCGTACGTCCAGTTGTGATTTCTCTAGGTAGAGAAATCACGGCTTCCTTGATTAATAATAAAGTTAATACTTTTGCAAAAACCCTTAGAACTAATCGCCTTTACACTATATTGACTGTCTCTAGCTTTTTCACACATTATTCTAGCCTCGCACCCTAATTTAAGTATAAGGTGCGGCTTACATGTCTTTTTTCCAGATTATGTTTCCTATTCTAAATAGACTAGGAAAGTACACTTTTTTTCGTTTTTCAAATTATCTTCTAGAATTCTTAATCTAATTGAATAAGGAAACTAAGATTCTTTCCTAGTTCTTTTCGGAGAAGAATCGGTGTACCTTTTATTTTCCCTACACAATCCTAAACAAGATAGGACACTAGCTTTGATGAGCCAAAATCCTAACAATCTGCACCTTGGTGAGTCACACCAAGTCTTGACTGTTGCATCCCAGAGTATCTTCAAACCTTCTTAAAGCAGCTCTGCAAATCTTCAAGAACCTTCACCTTGACAATCTCCTTCTTGCCTCATTCCACCTCAAGTAAGGAGGTGTTCTACTTAATACTGGTTTGATACTGAGGTGCTTTTATAAAAAGTGAGTATAAAAAAAAAGCTGAGCTCAAAAAGGTGTTTGGTAAACACTTAAAACAGCTTATTTTCACAGTTACAGGTGAAAAAAGCTAAAAATGTGAAGCAGCAAAAATGAGCTTATTCTCATAGCACAACAAAAACAGTTTTTTTTCAAAGCACAACAATATCAAACCAAACCTTAATCAATCAATGAGATTGATAAGTTCAAGCAATGCTTAAACTTATTGGCTGACACTATCTTCTTAAGGAAGTCTACGACATTGTCGTCTGTGTGAACCTTTTCAACCAAATCTCCTCAGATTCCACCAAATCTCTGATTTTGTGATACCTTGCTTCAATGTGCTTTTATCTTTCATGAAAAACCTGATTCTTTGCCAAGCGAACACTTTAGCTGTCACATAATCTTGAGTGATTCTATTTGGCCTACCAAGCCACTAAGCCAAATTGCTTACTTTCCAGCTTCGGCCAAAGCAATGTACTTTGCCTCTGTGGTCAACAAAGTTGTAATTGGTTGCAGTAGTGCCCTCCAACTAATTGGTTCTCCTGCACATGTAAAGACCTAACCAAAAGTTGACATTCTCTTGTTCAACTCCCCTGCATAATCGGCATCCGCATATCCCCACATTTTCTTTTTGCTTCTCAAACATGATTGCTTGTCGCCAAGAACCTTTTAAGTAACGCAAAATCCACTTGACTGCATCCCAATGTTGCTTTCCTGGATTTACCAAAAACCTTTTAAGGAACGTAGCCTGGTACACCAAGTATACAGAGTCGTGTTCCCTGCACATTGAAATATTTATCCGAGATGGGTGTGTGTAGCACACAACTACATGCTTTAGTTGTTTTTCTTCTTCTCTGATTAAAAAAAATTACGTTTCTTGAAAATTCCACTCCACTCATCTCCAAAACTCAAATTATGTTCGAGTATGGCGCAGCTTGTGTTTTAGTATGAAAGGAACTGGAAAAGAATGCCAACCAAAATAACAAGATGGTCGAACAACAGCGCGTTCTTGCGGAGAGAAAACGTCATATATATAATCCTCGAAAGCACATAAAAAACTGAAAGAACATTGATAACCTAAAATGCAGAACTTGAAGTCCTCAACTTTCTTTACTGTGGTCAAAAAACTGTACAAAATCTTTGATAAGCAACTGTCATCCAGATAACAAAACCAAGTAAATTCTGTACATATATACATTGTTGCCAGAGACATTTCCTATCCATTGTACATACAGACACCACAGAGGAGAGTTCACTCCCACTCCTATTAAAATCAATGAAGGGGACTGAATTGTTTGAATAAATATGAAGAATCCCGGCTGACAGCAGGAACCACACAGATAAAAATTTTGAACGAACAGTTCCCGGCATGTTCAACTCCAGCACAATTTTCACCCAAAAGTCAACTTTTGGTTGGAAATCAACTGGCCTATGGCTTTCCAATTTGATGTGAAAAAATCCGATTAAATAAGCAGATCGTCCGCTGCCACATCAACTGAGATAGGCCAATTGGGCATGCAGTAGAGACCACATGAAGTACCTTTTAGGACTGGGAAACAATGGAAAATTCCTTCTGCTGCTCAGGCATCAAGACAGCCAAACGTAGTTTGTGAAGCTGGCACAATTTTGCAAGATTGTTGAATACTGAGACCCTTGCAACATTATTATCCAATAAAACGACATGTGCAATACTGAAAGCTTCACCTTTCTCAACCGCAAATTGCAACTCTCTCATTGATATTTCAAACCAGTCTTTTCTTGTAGACTTGGTTGCTTTAACTTCAATGTACTCTCTACTATTTTCCTTCCCTCCCAGAACTATGTCATATGGTAGCCCAGTTTCGTTATGTTCATTAACCCACTTAACAACTGACTTGCCAGCTTTGTCAACAAAATATTTAAAAGCAACAAGCTCACCTAGCCGCCCAGTTAAAATTGCTTGTGTCGAATTGGGTGTACCAAATCTAAGCTGATCTCTCTTGCTAAAATTAGATGAACCAAAGTCAGGAGCATCAGACACAGGACCAAAACTACTAGGATCAAACTGGATATGCATTGACAAGTCAGCCTCATTGTCAGCCTCACTACAATGTTCTTGCAGACGATTGGAGTCTGGCAAAACTAAAGCTGCAGATGTTGCTGAACAATGTTCAATTGTCCAATTAGTGTCAACCGAAACAGGTGTCAAATTATCTGTTTGTCTGCTGATACCTTCAGAATCATCACCCAATTTACTTTGTACAACCGTGTTAGGCTGTGAACCTGGTGCCTGCGTCTTAAAACCATTTGCACGAGCATAACCAAACCCTGGTGCAGTTTTCCAATCAACAGGAGGCCAGGTTGCTGCTTTGCTTTTGGATTTCAAACTGCTTTGTTCATTTACTACGGTTGAAATAGAACTTGTCTGCAGTGGTTTATCACTCCTCGTTAAGGAATGCACAGAAGACAAGGACCAAACAGATTCACCATCAGGAAGCTTTGGCACCTTTTGGCTATTTAAGATGAAAAACTCTGTCTGCTCCTCATTTGAACCTGACTCTGCCATGGTTGTGATCATATGAAGGAAATTTGCAAAGTGCAGTTCAGGACTTCCATTAAAAAATAAACGAGAAAGCTCCAGAAATAATGCGTGAGAATCTGACTCTTGGGTTGTATACAAAATGCTACCCTGTATTTGTGAAATGAAAGGATTAAGTGTATGAAAGTGAGAAAAATTGCAAGTACTCATCACACCAAATTCTTGGTAGAATTATCTTCCGGAATCATAAAACTATGAGAAACACCATTTAATAAGAGAAGTTGATTAAAAGGAGGAACTTTTAGGGGATGCATAATTTACATTTTCTATTTTACCAGAACAAAGTAGGAGGATGGTGTCACTATTTTACCAGAACAAAGTAGGAGGATGGTGTCAAGTAACCTGCATAAGATGTTTCACATACTAAATCCTTGTATTTCAGAAGGATGCAAGTATATTGTGGTTCCAGGTAAAGTCTAAATCAGTTTTAAGTATAAAAGGAGCATTATGAAACACAAACAGCAGGCATTCACATTCAATGAAGGATGAAATAACATACCGTCAGAAGGCAACTACATTCAACTTGCTTCTTGGATTCACTTCCAGTACCCTTTATAACATTCCGGTAAAACAGCTTTTCAACAACTACTACTTGCAAACAGTTCAGAAATTCAGACTGCTTGAGTTGAGAATATTTATCTGGGTGTACACCATTTAAGTACCGCTGAGCATATGGAAGAGCCCAATCCAGCAATGCAGCTTTAAAGCTAGAGTCTTCGATACCAGAATATATTGCCTCGCGAGTTACAACCTGCATGTAAACACAAAGGTATGGGGAAGTTTCAGGTGCATGAGTTAATTTCCATAATTTAGTTTTCCATTTTCTTTTTCAAACTGATAACCCTGAATTTTGTAATACAATGCATTGTTCAATTTAATGTGGCATAATAATGCATAGCAACTTTAGAGATTATTATGACGTATTGAATTCCATTTAATACTCAAACATGTTGCTTAAGTTTCATACACATGCTCACGTGACATGTGCATGTTTGTGAACAAATAGAGACATGTCTCAGCTCCGCGCACATAAAGACATATCTTAATCTTACCTCTGAAAGAGCAGGAATCCCTAAAGTCTGCATGAGGATGGACACTTTCGTACATAGCATCTCTTCATCATCTTTACTCAGTTCACCCAAGTACAGAAAATCAATGCCATCCAAGTGCTTAAACTGCTTGCTTAATTTCTTATCATCACACCAGCACACAAGACCAAATGACGGATGTAGAGAAACCCACTTATCTTGTAAAGTAGGAAGCACCGTACATTCAATCTTTGTAAGCAAATCTTTCAAATAAAGAACATCCTCAGCACTCAATCCTGATTTTAATCCATCAGTCCACTTCAGGAAAACTTGAAAAACCTGACACAAGCAACACAAAACATTTAGATCACCCTGCGGCTTGCATTCATTGTCATATTTCTCTAAACTTGGTTACTTAGTACTTACTGCACTAGCTGCTTGTGAAGGCAAAGCAACATTTGATAAATGAAGCAAAATCTGAATGTAGCTTCGGAGAGGAGGGGTTTCATGTACTCCACAGACGTTAACAAAGAAGTCATGAAGGCCTGGGTAGAAATTGCAAAGCATCTTAATCAATGGGCCATGAGCAACACCTGCTGAGCTGCACTGACGATGAATTTCTCTGATTTGGTCTACAAACGACGTGGAATCATGCCAGTATACTTCTGCAGGGGACAACAATGTACCACATACCACATCCTCGTGCCTGAAGCTAGATGCATAAGGAATAAATATAGAAGGTCCTGAATGGAAAACCTCTGCAATTTTCTCCGTTGAAGCAGCCATTTCATTCCAGATTAATGTGTAAAATTTCAACATTTGCCCTAGGCTGGAAGACAAAAGAAAAGCCGACTTTAAAGTGTGCAATCTTTTTTTTAAGATGCAAATTTTTTGCAGACCGTGCAAAATTAAACAAATACAATAAGAGTAAAGCGTACATATAAATATATGTTTTGTGTCGAGCATTGCTTAAGGTTGTGATTTTGAAGGGACATATATCTCCCTATAAGAACATTGCTTAAAATTACCTCCCGATTATGTGGATCTAATGCCTATAAAAGCAAATGATACTGTAGAGGTAATGCTCTAGGTTTAAGCACTTCAATTTCTTTGGTAATAGTATTCACAAAATTGGTGAAACCAAAACATTTAGCCTAAGATATAAGAAATAAAAGCTAATGATATCACTCCTGAATAAAATGAGGTCAATCATGATGGAGGGAAAATCATAATCATACCTGGCCTGGAATTCATTTTCACGCCTCCATAACTTCAAGACCTCCAGAGCATCGTCAAGAGAAACTATTGTCTTAAAGCCAATATCACGTACGAAATTCTCACTTCTCACCTGTTTCAAAAGAATAAAAAAACAATGGAGCACATGGATCAAGAAACTTCAAACAACATTTAAGATTTTGTACAGCTGAAATTGTAGTTATTATATCCACAGTATAGCATTGTCTCACATCCATGTTATAGAACATATAGCAATCGAAAAGTATGCCGCTACGCCTTCCAGAAACAACATATGCAAAATATTCTTGAGGTGTATTGCTCATTTCATAGTGGAAACAATAGGGATTGCTAAAGAGGATTGGAATCTAGAGCTATTGATTTTTTTCTTTTTCAAATTTGGTAATAATATAGACCTGTAATCAAAAGATGCAGCCATCTCCAAATTCTAAACATATAATAAATTCTAATATCTCTAACTAGGTGTAATTTCATTTTTTTATTTAATAAATTTTCACCTCATACAGTCGAGTTTTCTCTTGAAAAAAACAAAAGTTTCATTCCAATATAGGTACCAAAATCTGAGCCACATTCTCTAAAAAAAAAACAAAAGGTTCTGGAACATCACTGTAAGAATCAAACAACCACCGCAGACTGCTTCACATAGGAAGGGACCAGACCTGAGTTGTGGAACAAATAAGACTTGGAGTTGAGTTTGTTCGAAAATTTAGCATCAGATATGCCATAATTATTCGGTGGTAAAATACTGAACAACTGTGCTTCACTTGACCCTGGTTGGCTCAATAAAAAATGAATAACCACATTCCAGAACCCAAAATCCCCATGACTTTGACAGAATCATAAATCTTAACCCTCATATGTCACCACGTATGAAGAAAATGGCCAGAAAATCAACAAACCATTTAAAAAGGGAGGATTAGATTTGAGAGAGGTTTTGCTTTGATGAAGATGGCATGGGTGTTGCATTAGCGAGTTTTGAGGTTAATAATAGCGACACCCAGGCCATCTTAGTCAAGTAAAAACCTCTCCCAACATAATCCTCCCATTTTAAATCGTTTCTTGATTTTGTGGCTTATTCTTCATTTTGCACATGTAAACAGTTGGATATGAATTAGTAGGTCAACAGAGAGGCGGTGGGGGAATTATTAAGGAAGTACAGCGTCCAAACAGCAACACCGTATAAATAATGTTAATTAATTTCGGACAACCAATTCGGGTTCATGCCAGGGCGCTCAACCATGGAGGCAATCTATCTCTTACGAAGATTGATGGAAAGATATAGAGATGGGAAAAAGGATTTACACATGGTCTTTATAGATTTGGAAAAAGCGTATGATAGGGTCCCAAGAGACATTCTTTGGAGGATTTTAGAGAAGAAAGGAGTACGAGTAGCATATATCCAAGCTATAAAGGATATGTATGAAGGAGCAAAGACTGCCGTAAGAACTCATGAAGGACAAACCGAAAGCTTTCCCATAACTGTAGGATTACATCAAGGCTCATTCTTAAGTCCTTACCTTTTTGCGTTGGTAATGGATCAGTTAACAGGACATATTCAAGATGATATTCCTTGGTGTATGCTTTTCGCAGACGATATAGTGTTGATAGATGAAACTCAGGAAGGGGTAAATGCAAAGCTTAACCTTTGGAGAGAAGTGTTGGAATCTAAAGGTCTTCGCCTAAGCCGATCAAAAACAGAATATATGGAGTGCAAGTTCAGTGCAAATGAAGGCCAAAACAAGTTAGGGGTGAGGATCAGAGATCAAGAAATACCAAAGAGCGACCGTTTTCGTTATCTAGGATCTATCTTGCAAAAGAACGGAGAATTAGATGGAGATCTCAACCATAGAATACAAGCTGGATGGATGAAGTGGAAGAGTGCATCTGGCGTGTTGTGTGACCGCCGTATGCCACTGAAGCTCAAGGGAAAATTTTATAGGACGGCAATAAGGCCGGCGATGCTGTATGGCACAGAATGTTGGGCGGTGAAGCATCAACACGTACACAAAATGGGTGTAGCGGAGATGAGGATGCTTCGCTGGATGTGTGGGCACACGAGAAAGGATAAGATTAGGAATGAGGATATCCGGGGTAAAGTAGGAGTAGCCGAAATTGAAGGAAAGATGAGAGAAAATCGGTTACGGTGGTTTGGACATGTGCAAAGAAGGCCTACTGACGCTCCGATTAGAAGATGCGACTATGGGACAGAGGTTCAGGGCCGAAGAGGTAGAGGAAGACCTAGGAAAACTTTGGAAGAGACTCTAAGAAAAGACTTAGAGTACTTGGATCTAACGAAGGACATGACACAGGACCGAGCACAATGGCGTTCTAAGATTCATATAGCCGATCCCACTCAGTGACTTGGATTTTCCAAGTCTCCAATCGAGAAGTTTTCCTCACTCAGAAAATTAAGGGAACACTACCCCAACCTACATGCTCCACTCAGAAAACTTCAACATACAAGCTTCAACAAAAGAAAATTCAAAGAACTTAGCGAAGAAGGCTTTGGTGTATTTAACACAATACGTTGAAATGAAGAAAAGCTTATTTATTGATATCCCCGATAAGCTACAAATATGTACATATACATGAGTCAAAATAAACAAACAAGATGGAGCCTTCACAAAGGTTGCTTAGGAGAAGTCTCAGCAGTCGGTAGAGCCTCAGAAAGAGAAAGCATCGGAGGGGGATCATTCGGAGCCTCAGTACTGGACAGAACCCTAGAAGGAGGAGGCATCAGAGGTTGATCATTTGGAGCTTCATTACGCGGTACAGCCCCAGAAGACGAAGGCAATAAATGCCTTTGGAACAAACCCACAAATCTCTGATGATCAAGTAAAACCTGACCATCAGTTTCCTTCATCTGGTCAAGCTTCATCTTCATGTTTGTAGCATAGTCATGTGCGAGCCGGTGCAACTGTTTATTCTCATGCTTGAGCCCTCTAATCTCCTGTTTGAGACTCATCACTTCGGCCGCCAATGATTCAACTTGGCGGGTTCGAGCAAATAGGCGTTGGGCCATATTAGACACAGAACCTGCACACTGAACACTGAGAGCCAGCGAATCCTTAACAGCTAACTCATCAGACCGTTTGGAAAGTAGTCTGTTATCTTTGGGAGTGAGAAGGTTCCTGGCCACCACCGCAGCGGTCATATCATTCTTCATCACGGAATCCCCAACGGTAAGAGGACCAGTAGGGGAGACGAAGCATGGGCGCCATATGTTGTCTGGAGAAGGCGGGGTTGCCTCTTCAACAAGGTTCAAGTCAAAACGACGGTCGGAGGGGCCAGACATTTTCAAAGGTGTTGAAGAGAGAAGAGGTCGGACAAATCAAGATCTTAGAAGTGCAAGAATGGAGCTTCTACTGGTGGAGATTCAAGTGTGCTTTGGAACTTAATGCCAACCCTTATAAAAAGCTGCACTCGACGGAGCTTCAGACATCGAAGAGGCGCCTGCCCAGAAATCGAAGAGGCGTTTGCTTTCTCAAAAGCTGGGCTGCTTAGAGACCACGAGGGTTGATCGCATAAATCGAAGAGGTGTTTGCTTTCTCAAAAGTTGGGCTGCTCAAAGACCACGAAAGCCGATCTCAGAAATCGAAGAGGCGCTCGCTTTCTCAAAAGCTGGGCTCCTCAGAGACCACGAGGGCTGATCTCAGAAATCGAAGAGGCACCTACTTTTCCAGCCTTGTCAGCACCTGTCACACGCACACTCAGCTTTGCCGAAATTATGGGTATTCTGTCGAAGACTTCTGGGGAAGTAGAAAACACATGAATCTTACTGTCCAATCACCCACTTCCCACACGCAACAATAGCTCATGGGTACCACAGATAACTTTGCCAAAGTTCTCTGCCAAAGTTGAGCACGTGAAGCTTGCAGCTCCCACTACATCGCTCTGACCAAGAAGGGTAAAAGAATAGCAAAGAAACAGCACTAACAAAGTTTAGACCCATAAATTTTGAAGGTCTAGCTACCATATTATTACCCACAAGGGTAAAGGAACAGTACCACTGCTGGATAATTGGAAAGTCCCTGTGTGTCAACCTCTGTGCCTCGTGGCAAGGTAGACTAGCAAACATGCCCAACCTTTACTCACATTCGAGAAAACACTCCCAATAAGATTGATTGCTCCAAAATCGAAGAGGCACCGTCCTCCGAATCTCGAGAGCCAGACTCCCAACATGACTACTTTCTCAAAAAGCGAAGAGAGGGTAAAGGAACAGTACCATTGCTGGATAATTGGAAAGTCCCTGTGTGTCAACCTCTGTGCTTCGTGGCAAGGTAGACTAGCAAACATGCCCAACCTTTACTCACATTCGAGAAAACACTCCCAACAAGATTGCTTGCTCCAAAATCGAAGAGGCACCGCCCTCCGAATCTCGAGAGCCAGACTCCCAACATGATTACTTTCTAAAAAAATCGAAGAGACACTGCTCCCCGAATCTCGAGAGCCAGATCCCCAGCATGATTGCTTTCTCAAAAATCGAAGAGGCATCGTTCTCCGAATCAATCGAAGAGGCGCTCGCTTTCTCAAAAGCTGGGCTGCTCAGAGACCACGAGGGCCGATCTCAGAAATCGAAGAGGCACCTACTTTTCTAGCCTTGTCAGCACCTGTCACACGCACACTCAGCTTTGCGGAAATTATGGGCATTCTGTCGAAGACTTCTGGTGAAGTAGAAAGCACATGAATCTTACTGTTCAATCACCCACTTCCCACACGCAACAATAGCTCATGGGTACCACAGATAACTTTGCCAAAGTCTCTGCCAAAGTTGAGCACGTGAAGCTTGCAGCTCCCACTACATCGCTCTGACCAAGAAAGGTAAAAGAATAGCAAAGAAACAGCACTAACAAAGTTTAGACACATAAATTTTGAAGGTCTAGCTACCATATTATTACCCACAAGGGTAAAGGCACAGTACCACTGCTGGATAATTGGAAAGTCCCTGTGTGTCAACCTCCGTGCTTCGTGGCAAGGTAGACTAGCAAACATGCCCAACCTTTACTCACATCCGAGAAAATACTCCCAACAAGATTGCTTACTCCAAAATCGAAGAGGCACCGCCCTCCAAATCTCGAGAGCCAGAGTCCCAACATGATTACTTTCTCAAAAATCGAAGAGACACTGCTCCCTGAATCTCGAGAGCCAGACCCCCAGCATGATTGCTTTCTCAAAAATCGAAGAAGCATCGTTTTCCGAATCTCGAGAGCCAGATACCACATACCACTTTTTCAAAGTGCTCTGACAGAGTTAAAACATGTGAAGCTGGCAGCTCCCACTATCGTGCTATGACCAAGCAGGGTAAAGGAATAACATTACTACTTGTTGTTAGGGAGACTCCTATATATGTCGACCTCCATCCCCAACGGACAGGCAGACCTGCAAAAATGCTCAACCCTTCCTCATATCTGAGAGGGCACTCCCAACGAAGCCTTTCGAAATATTCAGCTTTCTTTCCCCCCGATAATACCTCTGCAAACAAGCTATACTAGAGCAAGAATATCTCATATCATCAGGGTTAAAAGCAAGAGTATCCCATATCATGCTTTTTCCCTGTCTTTTCCTTTGGCCTTGTTTTTACCTGCAAGACAAGGAGAAAGAGAGCAATCAGTCAGCACTTGAAATCAAGCTCCCAGCCAGGAACTGACTGCCTGGAACCCCTTACCTGATTACTTACCTGGCATTGCTCTCGAGTACTCATCTTCAACAGTTTATGTTTCCAGGGAAGATACCGCATCTGCTTGAGGAACAGATAGGGCAAGTGCGAAGGATACAAGGAAGCATGTGGATACAAGCGGAACAGCACACGTGCCGATACTTCCATTACTCTGTCAAAAGCAAAAGTATCCCATATCAGCAGGGTCGAACGTACTCTAGATTTGATGGACTTGTTTTGACCCTCAAATTCTTCAGTCGGCCTTATACTCTGGAGGAAACCAGAAAACCCTCCAGCTCAGTTCAAGAATAAGCCTGTGGAAAGTTACTTCTTCAAAAGCAAAAGTATCCCATATCATCTCCTCATTTTTCTTCTCTTTATCCTTCATGCTGCTGCAAGATGGGGAGAAGGTGAACAATCAGCCGGAGCTCTGATTGCTTACCTTGTCTGTCACCTCTTTCAGCAGATCCCCTAGCTCGGCGACTTGGGGGACTCCTACTACATGGTTTGTATCGCGCTTGACCAAGCCTGAAACTACAAGTAAGCTTCAAGTGAAATTGATACATTACCTTGTGCATCTCCACCAGTTAAAGATACCACCCCTGGATGGAGGAAGAGTACTTCCAGAGAAGCTGCCACATCTACCTATGAGACAGATAAGGCAAGTCAAGATGATACCACACTCCGATACTTAGAAGTTTCGTGATTACGAGATCATTCTCCCACAATATTTCCTAATGTCATTTGTACTCTAATGTCATTTGTACTAAATCATTCACTTGTACTCACTAAAGGAGAGCTTGAACCTATGTACTTGTGTAAACCCTTCACAATTAATGAGAACTCTTCTATTCCGTGGACGTAGCCAATCTGGGTGAACCACGTACATCTTGTGTTTGCTTTCCTATCTCTATCCATTTATATACTAGCCACACTAATGACCGGAGCAATCTAGCGAAGATCACAAAAAGTGACCGTTTTCGCTACCTAGGATCTATCTTGCAAGAGAACGGAGAATTAGATGGAGATCTCAACCATAGAATACGAGCTGGATGGATGAAGTGTAAGAATGCATCCGGCGTGTTGTGTGACCGTCGTAGGCCACTGAAGCTCAAGGGAAAATTTTATAGGACGGCAATAAGGCCAGCGATGTTGTATGACACAGAATGTTGGGCGGTGAAACATCAACACGTACACAAAATGGGTGTAGCGGAGATGAGGATGCTTCGTGGGATGTGTGGGCACACGAGAAAGGATAAGATTGAGAATGAGGATATCCGAGGTAAAGTAGGAGTAGCCGAAATTGAAGGAAAGATGAGAGAAAATCGGTTCCGGTGTTTTGGACATGTGCAAAGAAGGCCGACTGACGCTCTGGTTCGAAGATGTGACTACGGGACAGAGGTTCAGGGCCGAAGGGGTAGAGGAAGACCTAGGAAAACTTTGGAAGAGACTCTAAGAAAAGGCTTAGAGTACTTGGATCTAACGGAGGACATGACACAAAACCGAGCGCAATGGCGTTCTAGGATTCATATAGCCGACCCCACTTAGTGGGAAAAGGCTTTGTTGTTGTTGTTGTTGTTGTAGATGCAACATCATAATATCCTTTTTTCTTATTATAAATTGTTTTATGAAGCGACAAAATTTTATTTATACTTCTATGCACAAGGACAACATTAAACATAAAAGAGAACAGACAGGCTTATCAAATCGAATGATAATAATATAATGATGTCACCAACCATTAACACCAATATTCAACTAATTCACATAATTAAAAACTTGAAGCTAAACTGTGAATCCTAGTGATTATGAAAAGCATGTCATATTAGATAATTAAAATACGATTAGAGAAAAAAAACATATTAGAAGATAGAAAATAACGTTGACATATAAATAATTGTGTAGAAGAAATCCAAAATATAAATATCACAAGAAGTCAAGGTTCGACATAGATTAATTTCCCCACACAAAGATTTTCACAGAATTATTTACAATCATTCATCAGCAGATACCTACAAATATTCTCACGCCAATGTGATGTGAAGTTATATAAGCTTTATTGACACCATTCAAACTGTTAGGAAAAATCGCGAAGTAATTTAGTATGCAGAAAAGACAAAACATGTAGAAAAGAAATAAAAAAGGTCACAACCTTTTCCCTTTGAAGTAAAAAATGGGGAAATTCGTATGCAAGTACCAAACTAACCTTTGGAATCGCAAAAGGAGCAGATGCCCCCAGAGTCGAACGCACTGCATCACAGTCATGATATAAATGTTTAGGATAGTGAAGCACATCATCCATCGCTGATGCTACCCACTGCACATCACAGATGCTACTTATAAATGAAGATTTGAAGGGCCTTCTGTCGGCTTCAGAGTTAGAAGCACAATAACCAGTAGTTTTTTCACTATAACAATCATCCCACAAAGTATCAAGAACCTCTAAAAGATATTCACAACCTCTTTTGTTGCCATCTCTGGCCAATACTGACAATAAGTCGACCAATTCAGGGGACTCCCAATCTGTGATATTTGGCCTAAGGGAAATTAAGTCCTTATCCCATATCAAATTCTTAACTACTCCATCTGAAATATCAGCTATTCCCTTCTCAACTTGAACTACTTTGACGAAATCCATTATCCCAATTTGCTGGAAAAATTGCCTCCACTTCTCCAGTTCACATGGGAGTGACTTTGAAACAGGATGTCTCAAATAGGAGATGTCAACCTCATGCCACTTCATATCCACCATATTAATCAACTTCTTTATGTCCACGGGATTACCAAATTCTTGACTGAAATGAATTGATACCTCAGAAGGTCGTTTAAAGCCATGATTTGTTGATATGTAAGCCTTATCCAGTATTTCAGAGATTATATATTCCCTTTCAACATGACAATCGGAGCAGCTAGACTGTAGGTGGAGCATAACAAAGCAGAGATATTCAATCATCAAATTCTTATCCCTATCCATAATTCTATCTTCAGACATAGCTGGCAGGATGTGCACTTTGACAATTTCGTGTGTAGACAACTTCTGGACACCAATTCGGAAAAGCATACACGTGAGTTTTTCAACTGTCGTCACATCCATGGATGACATGTCTGCAGACAGTGTAGAAAGGAGGGCAGGATTTACGGTCCGAAGTTTTGCATATAAATGTGGAAAGGACTCAAGTCCGTGCTGAGCTTCAAGCTCAGTGCATGAGGCATCAAAATGTAACCAAATTGGGCCTTCATCTATTGCACCGTAAGTACCATCTGAAAGAGGAATGAATGGAATTTTTCGAAGGTTTTCTATGACATCCATTTGAATTCTAGAGTCAAATGAAGCTTCCACAGATGAACTGAAAAACATTGCATAAAGTTCACTTAGCCAAAAGGCCAGCCAACCAAACCCCATTGATTTAATATCATTATGTTTATGGCATAAAGAGACCATAACTTGAAGAAGAACTTTGGGCCCATACTCCGCAATACCTAGTGCACTTGCAAGTTGGTCTGACAGCACAATATTTTTATCCAAGAACCCAAGGCCAAGATGTTCACATAGTAAACTGTCAGGAAGAAGTGAATGAGCACGTTCATTCCAACCTCTTAGGACTTTGCAAGGAGGAACCCATTCATTGTTTCGACCTTCTAGGAGTAAGCAATTTGACATACGTAATTTAGAAATAATCAATCGAGGAAGAGAAGAAAAGAAGCCATGCACCTCCCCAACAAGCGGAACAAAGGACATATAAGCTGCCACAGCTCTGCCTGGATTCTCTCTAAAACATGGAAGAGCACAAAAAGATCTCTCAACATTGATGAACAAACCTGGAAATTCTGACAATAGCCACTGGTTCCAGGGACTATCTCCATCCACTTCCTCTCTAGATGAAGTAATGGCAAAATCACCCTGCAGAATAAATTTCAGGCCATAAGTTCTTAGAGGAAGAAATGCAAAAACCGGGTGTTGGCGTAAATCTGGACTATAATCGCCACTATCGGATTCCTTCAAAGTCAATGCTATCGAGATCTCTGTTTTTTGTACATCACTACGAACAAATTCAGCTTGCAATTTTTGAGATACTACAAACCATGTCATTTTTTCTTTCCCATGTGAAACCTTAACGATACCATCTCCCACAATTTCTTTTCTCATGACAGTAAGTGAATCATCGAGCAAGTTTCTGAACTTGATACACTGGAGGCGGTGCAGAAAGAGTAATAAAGATGGATGAAGATCTGAAAACATATTTATAATGTTCTTCATGACAGTTGCATCTGATAACTTTGATTTGAAAGGAAGAACAATGCAAGTGTTCCAGCAGTCACGGTCCGATTGATCACTGCCACCAGAAGTAAGCCTACTAACAAGTCAATACTGCACGGAGGTACAACTGTTGGCAAAACAAACCCGATCTGACCCTCACTTATATCAAATTTGATATGGAACCCATTGGAATGAATTTCTGGAGCATCTGTGACCTGCAGATAAATGCAAGCATATTAATGAAGGCATATTATCAATGTCTTTCTGGACCATTATGGATCCAGTGGAGCAAGTCTCCTCCAAACAGGGAATGAAGCTGAGAGTTTGATTAACAAAAATAATAAATAATTCATAGCAGCAGTAAAACATATAATCCATAGTTCCTATAATAAGGCTTGTTAGAAATTCAAATGATAGTACAACTGTACAAGATACTTCACTTAATGCAGCAAACAATCGAAAAAGAAAAGGTGTGGTTTGACATGAGAGAGAGAGAGAGAATGACAACTGCAGTGTTTTCACAACCTACCCGAAATACTGATTTGAAACCAATGCCCTTCTGGCCTATATATCCAGCATTAGATCCTTTCTTGGTGGAACTGCCAACGTCACAAAGTGCTCTAATATTCTGGGAAGAGAATCCTTGCTCATTGTTTAAAACAATAATACTTGATTCTTGAAGAATGAATGTTAGAGTTGGTTCTACATTTGTTGGGTAGGTATTATCATCAGCATTTTGAACCTGAGACAACAATGAAAGAATAAATACGTACAACAATTAGATGTATTAAAACATCACTAGCTTATCAAAGGCTTGTTTTCAACTTTAGACTCAATTATAGTATCAACAATATAAAGATCATACACACTCTAAATTTGAAATAGTATTTGACAATATGTTGTTGTAGGAGAAATTTTATAAATGAAAGGTGTTGAGAGCATGTCCTACGTTGAGAATTCCAAGCCCTGCATAACAATATATGCTATCAGGGGCATCAGGCAACAAAACAAAATATAAATACATATATAAATATGCATAGTTATGTTTTTCAAACTATCAACCTGGCACCACGCTATAAACAAATAATAAAGTTGACTACTTAACATGTCAGGCTGTTTAGAAAGATTTCTATATGTATAAATACACATGTAACCACTAGTCAGTAAACCCAGAAAGCCGTACAAATCTTAGCAAAGTTCATTTATTAATCAGAATCCAAGAGAATGTCCAGAAATTACATGAAAAAAAGTATATAACAAGACCGGGCATTTATACCATAAATGAAAGAGGAAAATATTATATGACAAGACCAAGAATTTAGACGGTAAATGTAAATGAAAGAGGGGACACCAAAAAGATAATAAAAAAGGAGGAAAACATCACATAATTGAGCAGATGACTGCACTAAGCACAATGAAAGGGGGAAAAGGACAGAGAGAGAGAGAAAGGGCACCCTTACCAGCTCAAGAAGAAAGTGTGAATCCTGAGAATACAATTCCTGTGAAAGACAATGAAGAGCTCTCCCTAAGCGAGCATGCTGCTTCTTTAGCATGATACTTTCAACACTTTGTAGGCTTGAATCAAGACCGAATTCATCTCTCCGGATTGACTCAATTACCTGGGCTGCATCTTCATGTTTATTAAGCTCCGCAGAACTGTGTGTGGAACAATATCCACTTCTAGCATCAGAAGCTTCTGCGCTATCAATCTTCATACAGATACCAGTACATCCACGGGTCTGCTCATCTGACCTACCAGATGCACCCATGCTCTGTTCAGAAGCAGAAAACTTACCTGACACATCTTGCACAATCATTGAGCTTGACCCTGTTTCATAACTAACAGAATTCATACGTGAATCCGCAGATATGGACAAGTCAGTAGCATCGTTGGAACAAAATTCATAGTAATCAGTAATCCACTCAACTATACCAAGAGACAACCCAACTTCATGAAGCATGAGACGCTGTTCTGATTTGATACATTCACCCAGAATGGCTGAAGGAGCATGTTTGACAACAGATTGTATCCCAGAAAGCAATATATCAGCAGCAAAATCACGAAACTCGGTAGGTAGATACCCAAGACATTCAAGGACAAATCTTGATATAACAGGCGTTGCACTATTCATCTTGCTTAAGTCACTGTGTAATTTACTACACAATTTACCAGCAGCAACTTCACCAACAATTTCTTGTCTAGACAGTGGTTCTCCATAATTAAAAGAATTATTATTGTCATGTACTTCCAAACCATCTAAATAATTCTTCAGGATTACTTCAAATGCATGTTGTATATGAATTTTCAGAAGGGAGACAGGAACATGTTTTTCTCCCCCAACTAGTGAAAATAGAGAGAGCATTTTCACTGCTGTTTGAAAAGAGGATCCTTGAAGTGCAGCTTCCAAGAATGAATCAACAGTTGCTGAATGATCTAACCGAATCAGTTTTCCATCTCTTGTCACCAAACACAACAGTTCATCCGTGTTGACTTCCTTCAACAGCCATGGTAAAAGAGGACCAAGAGAGGGAGCAAACAAAAGGTCCCAATGTGACCATAAGTTTAAATCTGACATCATTGGTGCCCTAAGTAAAACTTCAATTGCATCCTTGGATGTAACAGATTCATAAGGCTTTGCTTTCTGGCCACTGTCAGTATTGATTAAAGTGCTGTTCCATAGGACATTCTCAATCTGTGCTGATGACTGTCTAGCATTACTAGTTCCACATAGTGCCATTGAAAATTGAACACATTTGGAAATCGCAGCATTTTTATGCTTTCCCACTATGCTTAAGAAATCTTCCACTGAACCATTTTCGATAGTTGTGAAACTAACCAATGGGAACTGCTTCCTATGCAGCAGTAATATCTTTTCTTTAGTAATGTTTTCATCCTCCCATAAACTATTCAAAGCTTGAGATACTAAAACAACCAAATGGTGTTGGAGCAAGCAAACCTCCAAAGGACACTTCCCAGTTACATCACCGGTCAGGAACTTGCACAGCTCGTGTGGCAGTAGACAAGCATATTTCTCTAAGAACATAAAAAACTCCCCATGACCGAGGGATTTAAATTCCTCGACACCAAATTCTTTGACCAGCCAAAGCTCGCAATCACAAAGCTTTCTCAAGAAGATAAATATCTTCTCCTGAAGTGATTGACTATCGTTATGCCTTCCTTGATCACTCTCAAAATACAAGGTAATTTTTCTGATTACGTCCTCAACAGAAACACCTGTGAAATTTAATTACAGAACACCATAAGGCATACAAGTTTCAAAGAGAAACATAAAAAATGAGGGAACAGAAAAAGACGAGATATTATCTTATTATAAGAAGTTAAGAAAAAATACTTTGGTGTCAATAATTTAAACCTATTTGCGGCAGTAATTTTGACTGCCTACAGCTCAAAAGTGTGCTGGGGTACTGAAATCCATTTTTCAATTGTTAGATGGAATCACTATTGTAAAATAATAGAAGATTAATACCCATGATGTGATCCAAAGGGGGAGGCCTTATGCCTGCTAATCTCCTCATTCTTGTGTTATGTGCAAAGCAGCGGGGGAAAGTGTGGGTCATGTAACCTTACACTGTCCCCTTAGATACAACGGGTTGTAGAGATTGTTTAGCGAGAGCTTTCTGGAATGCATAAGTGCTAGGAACAAGTAAACAAGTAAGACATGGTTAGCTTTTTAGACACTAGTTATATTGTAGGTTATCTGGATGGAGCGGAATAGGAGAATCTTTAAAGAGTATGAAGGGGTGGAAGTGGATAGACAATGGAAAAAGGTTAAGTTTGGGCCTCCATTTGGGCTTTGGTGACTTGGGAATTCAAAGAATTATCTATTTCTTCTAACCAGGATTACAGGTGGTTGAAGATTTCTTTGTTGTTTTCACTCTATCTAGAGTTCACCGCAGTTTCTTAGTGCTTCTGGAATTTATGTTGTACTTGTATCTATTAGTGATGTTATTGATGTAGACTGCTTGTCCACGAATTGTGTTTGTACCATACTTGACCAATCCCGAAACTAATGAGCACTGGTCAACGTTATACCGTCAAGGACCCAGAAGAGTTTCCAGGCCAATCACAACGCGACACGTGTCAACATCAGAAGCCAATCATAGCGCGACATGTGTTAACATCAGAAGCCAATCACAACACGACAAGTGTCAATGTCAGAATGAAACTAGAAACTCTCTTCTATAAATAGAGATCATTCTCTCACAATATTTCCTAATGTTATTTGTACTAAATCATTCACTTGTACTCACCAAAGGAGAGCTTGAACCTATGTACTTGTGTAAACCCTTCACAATTAATGAGAACTCCTCTACTCCGTAGACGTAGCCAATCTGGGTGAACCATGTACATCTTGTGTTTGCTTCCCTGTCTCTATCCATTTACATACTTATTCACACTAGTGACCGGAGCAATCTAGCGAAGGTCACAAACTTAACACTTTCTGTTGTACCAAAGTCCTCGTTGATTTTGTGCATCAACAAATTGTAATTAATGTTTTCTTCACTATTAATGGCTTGTTTACTAACTTCAAATAGGGAAAGTCTGAAATATGGGTTATTAAGAATGGTTTTGTATTTGCTGGATTTTCAGGTATTGGATTTAGAATGATTCCAAATGTGTTGGTAAACCCAGGGGAAGTCATAAAATAGAAAAAACTCGCATTCTAGGTAAGGAAACATGCCATTATTATGTGAAGAAGAACGTCAGTCATGTTGGTCAAGGGTGCTTTAGTCTTTTAGTGTCTAGGGTTTTAAAATAAAAGCTGTCAATTTATGGTTCCAGCAGGCCCATTAGTCTTTAAATTTCTTTGATCTATAAGGATCCGGTTATTATTTCCACTTTCTAAAGGAATGGGTTATTTTTTGTTCAATTAGGTTTAGGTTTGTTATAAGTTGCATCATTGTAATTCTCTTTAGATAGTAATGAATAATAAAGGTCGGTCGTACCCAGTGCACAAGGCTCCCGCTTTACGCAGGGTCTGGGAGAGGTGAATGTCGGCTAGTCTTACCCCCATTTATGGAGAGGCTGCTCCCAAGTCTCGAACCCGAGACCTACCGCTCATGGGCGAAGGCACTTGCCATCGCACCAAGTGCGACCTCTTAGATAGTAATGAATAATGATTGAATAAAATCGATGGAGCTTTTCTCCTCTCTAGGTTAGTGTGATTCTAACCCTAGTTGTCATGCCCAAGGCCTCTAGGAGTGATTCATAGAAACCCATGATGCTAGTAGTTTCTATCCTGTACTCATATTTTCCCATAATCCTTTTGTCCTGTATCATTATGCTTCTTCTTTTTCAAAAAAATTAAAATAACCATCACTTACTCTGCATATGCTCAACAATATGTTCACTGATGACCCGTGGATCCTTCATTTTTTGTTCATCTTTGGTAACTGGTTCAACATCTATGCTCACATATTCAGGACAGTTATCAGTAAGACTGCCAGTTAACTCATATTGACTGACAGTTTGGAATGTATCATACATGCTGTCCCACATTCCACATTTGATAGACGAGACCTGCAACATAGAAATGACAATGTGAGTGATCATAAACAGTTGCATAACAATAAAGGATTTCACTGGTTATCACATACAAAACAAAACTTCCACAGCAAACCTGTGGAAAACTGAAAGAACCACACATAAGACAAATTCAGAACCTTCTAGAGTAATTTTTTTGAAAATTTTCAGATATAAAGAATGATCTTAACATAATATACAGGCCTATAATATGCCATCTATAAGCATAACAACAATTTTAAAAACCATTATTGGCTACTTTGTGTTCTTTCCTTGTATACTTCCCATACTCTCAGGTAGGACATTCTCTTATCTTAAATACAAGGCCTTAGCTGAATCTTACCTTAAAGCATTCAAGGTAATTAAATGTATTGAACCCATGATAGAGAAACCAAAAGCAAAAGGAACTACATGAAATACACTAAAATATGTAATACAAGAGTTAAAACACCAAAACACACAAACATAACAAAAACATATATGCATCTCCATACTTTAATATCCTCAGGAATTCAATAATTAAAAATCTGCAAAACAATAAAATACTACATGTGAAACTAATAAGCTGATAATTAAACAGGCCACAATGACTTACAGCAACATTTAGTAATCCAATTAATGGATCTAGGGAAAACATTGACTTGATTTTCTTTCTCTTCTGAGCTTTAGTATTATTATACAGCAGCATTCTATCAAGTACCTACAAGAAACAAAAGATATTTTGTGAAACCGAAATTTGTAGAATAAAAAATGAAAGAACTCTGATACTTATAACACTTGTAATAAGGCTAAGTTAAAACAGCGAAGGAAGAAAAAATGAAAGAACGTGGTGTAACTTTTGTAATGCAAGGAAACACAATTTATTGGAATTATTTGACATGTATTTCTTATCCTTGTCAACACCCGTGGGATACGAGAAACATCAATACTTTTAGAACTCTGTTACTTATAGCACTCATAAGGCTAAGTTAAAACAGCGAAGGAATAAAATATGAAAGAACATGGTGCAACTTTTGTAATACAAGGAAACACAATTTATTGAAATTATTTGACATGTATTTCTTATCCTTGTCAACACCCGTGGGATATGAGAAACATCGGCAAACACCTCCAGTTCTTCCCTGAATATATTTCCTTTATATACCCAACCTTCCCCCATTAATATAATTCACTAAAAAATATCAATCTGTAAAGATATCAGCCAGAATATGAAGCACATTTCCAGGCATAATGTTTTCATCAAATCTTTGAAACCTAGTGAATTTGGTATCAGTTACACGTAAAAATCAAGTTCATTATAATTCTCAAAAGCAATGAAAATACATAGCAAACTAAATACATTACATAAACAGATACCGTACTATTGGCAGATATGTGATATCTAATCATTTGTTTACATACCAAAACAAAAGCATGAACATACCTCCGTCACAGTGTGCTCCCGACATGCCTCCTTCCAGGTTGTAATAAACATCTTCATATAGTTATTGTCAACTGAAAGTTCATCTTCATGCAAATTGCTGACCTCATTGGTTTCCCTACCATTTTGCACAGGAAGGGCATCTTGAACCTTATCTCTCTTCCGCAATTTGTGCGGAATGGAGATTGCACTGTTTATGTTTTCAGATTTCCTTTTCTTTCTAACAGATCCACTACTCTCATTGTGCTTTTGGGTGCCGCTAGCTGGAGAAAGCTGGCTCAACCCAAGACGTGTCCTCTCTTCTATTGCAGACGGGTAAGGACAGCTGCTCACTTGGTCGGAACTTTTAACAGATTGTGCTGAGTGGTTAACCTGACTACCTGTGGCATGGTCATTATTTTCAAAATCATCTTCGGATGAATAATTCTCATTATCTTCATCATCTGAGCTCGAAGAATCAAATCTAATGTGCTTGCCACGAAAATCCTTATGCATGGAAGAAAACGATTCAACACGCTGAGAAATGGTGCTGAAACGTTCGTCTAGCTGATTTTTCAGTGCGGAGAAAAGTGGACGCTTCCTACATTTTGTATCTAACTTTTGCTCAAATCCCTTCGCAGATTTCTTTTCTAATCTCCTGGCTTTCCGAATGGCCGAAATATAATTCCTGTGATCATAAAGTAACTTCAATCTACGACATTATAAATTTGCATACATCATTGAAAAAAAATGAATGAGATGATTATATAATAATACCATGAGACTGTCTTAACCCCTTAGAAAACTAAAATCATGGTTAACAAATTTAACCATCAATAAACTAGGATTGATACACACACACACACACACACACAAACACAGAGGTGATGACTCATATAAATTATAAATGACCAACTACTTCATAAAGGTCTGCAACAAAGCAGAACCAAGGTCAACAAATAATGCTTGAGATTGGGCCATTTTATTTTATATCAAAATGTCTGTGAATCCTGAATATTATTCATGACAAAGAGATTTTATAGTTAGTGGCAAGAATTGACAAACAGCATGCATTACCTCAGCAGAAGCATGCATCAAATATCCCTGTGACTCAAAGAGAGAATGGGCAAGTACTATAAGAGATCCTACTCAACATCCCTAATCCAGAAGGAAAAAAATTTAACTGCCGCGTGCACTTACAAATATTAGAAGGAATTTTAGTGCATGAAAGCTCCATAAACTAGTAAATCCAGCATCATATAAATGCATATGAACTAAAGAAAAAAGAGATTTCCTTTGCCAATGTAATTCCCTGGTCACAATTTATCTATCCACAAAATAGCTTTGCTAATCATAAAGTAGAAGCAACAAATGTGAGACATACCCCACACTGTGAATTCGTATTCCAAGATCATCCTTGCTTGCAGCTGCTCGCCTCTTAACGATGAAATCTAAAATCTCTTCAGGGCTAAACCTTTTATTGTTAGAAGTATCCATGAACTCTGAAAGTAGAGATATTATCTCCCAACTAGTTATCTTAAACACTTTAGTTGTATCAGACTTCACCGAGAAATAATGCAAAACAAGTGGGTGTCGCAACAAAGGGCCCAATCCCAGCTCTTCAAACTGCTCAATCCTCTCATTCTTGCAGATTGCTACTTCCATATCATACAATGAAGTAATGGTTTGAACGCCAACGAAACAATGGATAAATGCATTTATCTAAATTCCAATAGAAAATAAGTAAAGATTGATGGAATTTAATACATAAAGGCATAGATCTTGTAAGACAAAATACAGAAAATATGCAAAATTTTAATATTGTATCATATGCTTCTTTTGTTGAGAAAACAAGAGAAAATAAATAGTTGCATGTTCATTGTGCGTGATTGTATTACTTTTACTTTACAAATGAAACTTCATATTCAAATGAGCGAAACAAAAGACAATATGTATACTCACCCTGGACAACTAATGTCCAGTGCATATAGATAGCAAATCTCCTTGCAATTGCTAATAAAAAGGTCAAGCCTTTTAGTTGCTCTCAACCCCAATTTTCATAAGGATTCGACGTGATCATGGAGTGCCGGCTGTCGACTACCTGACGCCCTCCCCCTCCTCCTTTATCCAGGCTTGGGACCGGCAATGTAAGATACATAGGCGGAGTTGCTCTCAACCCCAATCAGAAATATTAATTTATTAAATCACATCCATTATGTTTATCAAACTACTGAAAAAAACCCAACGAAGCAAGATAACTTTTGCCAGAGAAAATGGGTAAAGTAAAAAATATCCTTAAGAAGCCCAGAGTTCTCTCGACTCTTTGGTCCAAAATTCCAATTCTTCACCCCACAATCAAATGTGGTCTCTCTTATATCCATGATTTTCTTTGTTTAATGTGGTTTCTCGGAGGTCAATTACAAGCAATACAAATCATGTATGTTTCCCCCAATACAGAGTAATTTCAATAATTCCTAACACGCAATCGAAGTGTTTAAATTACGAAAGAAGTATTACCAATATCAATTGCAACTCTTTTCCCATACTTTCTTAGCAACCAAATGAAGCATTACTTAGAGGGTAGCATTACCTTCGCTTCGGTGAGCATGAGGCGGTTCAGAGACGGCACTTGCTGCATCTGAAACCCCAAAGAATCCCAGCTATCAACCTTGAGCATCAGAAGGGCCGACTGCGAGACCTTCCACGCGGAGACGTTCTCTCCTGCGGCGGCAAGTTCGTCGCGAGCCTTCCCCACTGCGCGGTCAATTCTCTCGAGCATATCTCTCGAGTTCTGAGGCCGAAAGACCGTCGAGCTCGAAACCTGCTGGGGAGGAGGAGTGAAGCCAGCGTTTTGGCGGGAGAAATTAGGGTTTTGGATAGGGAAATTAGTGGGAGGGAAGGTTTGGTAAGGGTTTTGGTAGGCACTGTGGGGTATGAAGGCAGGGTTGGAGGGATAGACATATGGTGAATTGATGGGGCTTTGGAGGGGGAAATTAGGGTTTTGGGGTTGTTGCGGTGGCTGACCCCGTCCGCCGCCGGAGGAGCGGCGAGAAGGTCGTCCGTACATGGCGAGGAAGAAACAGAGACAGAGAAGGGAAAATATTTGGTGGGTGCGTGGAGTTAGTTATTAATCGAGGGAGTTTGCACCCAGCTTCGTACTGGAGACCCAGCAGCAGCTTTACTACAGGGCTGGCTAGCCACGCTCTCTCTGCACTTGCTGGGTTTGTGAGAGCGTTTTACGGCAGGCGCGAAATCTTTTTGTTTCTGAGTGGAGGTTTTGTTGGGGTTTTAGGTTGAGCGCCGCTCTTTCTCAGCGTCCTCGTTTATTGGCTTTTATAGGATCGGTTATATATATAATTATTTTATTTTATTTGTTTTGTTTTTTGATATATTTTGGATGTCAAATTAAGAAGAAAAAAAAAAACCACGTAGCGCTTCAATTCAATACATTGTCACATTTTTTTTTTTAACAAGATGATGTATTATTAAATTGAAATGTCATAATGATAACAGACATGTTTCATGTAAGTTATTCTCTATACGTAGATATAAGGTTTTGACTTATTTGTGTATCATACATATACTTAAGAGAGAGTCGTATATCGAATATACTAGAAAATAAAATGTTAAGATTTTACCAATGTATCATGAGTTTAGAATTTTCTATTTAGTTAATGTGAACTCGTCTTAAAATGAGAGATGGAGTGATCCAAGTACTGGGCCAGCCACGAGCCCGCTTTCACCAACCCGACACAAGAGGGTCTGTACACATACCGAATAACGTTGTCTTCCGAATAGACATAAGAATACAACTTTGTGACTCTAGTCAAGTTGGAAGGTACTTTGACTACTTTCCTTTTGTTTAACCAAACACTTTTCAAAAATACTTTCCTTTTGTTTAACCAAATACTGTTTCAAAATACACTTTAAATACAGCTTCATTTTGTTAACAAAGGCGTTAGACGTTACACGGTTAGCTATCACCTCGATTAATCCCTAAGTATTTGAAAATTAAGAAAGGGTGTCTAGACGTATTCAGGCATCTACCTAGCTCGTCTAGGCGTCCGTCTAGACTTGTCTAGACACCCACTTAGGTCGCAACTCAGACAGAAAAAACGATACTAAGAGGGAGGGGATGGACTTAACCTCGCAATATGTTAGCAATAATGTAGTTCAATTCGCCTTTGGATGAACTTTTTATATTGTGGTTCACATGTTTCCAATACATTATAATACTTTCTAATCCATATGTCATTCTATTTCACGTAATAATATTAAAAGGTTGGTTGATCTGATTCCGTTTCAATGCTTCCCCTAATTCTAAGCACTCCGATTATTTTATTCTTCCGTTTCTATCAAGAGTTCATCATATTTATATTTATCTTTTCATCTCTAGAGTACTAGTTGTCTTTCTACTTAATTGACCCACCGGCAATAGAGAACACGGTGCAAACACCGGCTGATGTTGTGAGCGGAATATCTTTGTAGCACGCCACTAGTTCAGTGTTCGTGTGCAGATCCACCTGCAAGGTCTCCCACACCCTCTTCTTCGGGTTCAAAATCTCATCAGGCTCAACTACAAACCCGGGAAATGTAACTCTCTCGCCAACTTGTGCACCTTCTGGCGGTTCAACCAGTTCAACCTGAAAGTGCACCCGACATTGAAGATATTTTATCAGTAATTACACTAGTGTCAAACTGTCCATGTCCATTGAACCATTGCATACAGATATTACATGCATGCTTGAGAATGTTATGAAAATTAATGTGTTTGCATTAGTGTCCAATAAAGTAACGGTTACACAAGAAACGTGAGTTACAAAGGCATAAGTCTTCCCAACTGACTAATCAGAAACAAACCACAGTCACTACAACTCAAGTTCGATTGAGATATTACTTTCTTATTATCAAAACCACTACATAACTTATGCAGACAAAATTTCAAAATATTATCGCCACGATCTTATGCATAAAAGGGAACACCTATAATCATGTGCCTACAAATTCACCGTTTTAAAGTAGCAAGTTTTACATAATGATGTGGAAACATATCCTCATTATTTGTAAATAAACAATGTCAGAGACCAAAAAAGTTAAAATTAGGTATCATCAAGATCCATATGGTAGACTCCTTTGTTTGGAGCATGACAGTGATGAGTGGCTTAAGAAGAGCACATAAGATGCAAATACTATTAAAAATATACGGGGCTGCTTACTGTGGTGTGGCCACTGTTCGAAGCAGCAAGAACCATTGCTTCTGACTAAATACCCCGCATGTTAGCTGGCTTCAGATTGCAAAGAACGCATACTTTCCGGTTCTGCCACAGAACAATTAATATGAACAAACGTTGACAGAAATTGATACTAACTTTATTATTAAAAAATTGGTAGATGGAAACACGAACCTGCATTGTTTCGAGATGTATATATTTGACAAGTCCACTGGCCACTGTTCTGGTTTGTCCTTCACGTCCTTCACCAACATCAATACCTCTACGTAAAGTGAATCAGCATCAAGTATGCTTCTGGTCCGGAATCCTTCTTTGTATTTTGGTTTCGTTGAGTGGTTTGAAATCACATCATTGGCTTCGTTAATTCCTTGGACTCAGTTTAGATTGAAAAAGCTTTAGAGATATAGGCTTCAGCTGAATTGTGACACTCTAGCCTTGAATTTTGATGTATTGTATGAGTTATTAATTGATGTGATTACGGAATAGTGTTGGAAAGCTTATGTGTGTGTGAATGGCAGGATGACAACTCTTGTTTGGCTTATGGTTGACGTGTAGTGTGGTATTCTATGTTTTATGCTAGGAAGTTGTTTGGGCCCAAAATAATGGTTTGGGCCGAGGGTAGGATCACTCTCGGCCCAGGAGGCCGGGCGGCAACAGGACCATGGATCGGTCAACCCATGGGAGTCCAAATCTAGGACGGATAGGACGAATCCTAGTGCAACAGGGAGTCTCGACGGGATCGGATATCCAGGAAACTAATCCGGCGTAGCAAAGGACTAGATTCATAGTCCTAGTAGATGTAGGACTGGTCGAGGTGATCCGGAGAGGGAAACCTAGTCCGAGTAGGATTTAAACTTGAACTCAAGGTTCAGTACTATAAATAGGGGATACTGTGCAATGTTCAGAAGCCCCCTACAAATCAACACAAAATTGCCCTGCGCAAACTCTCACAACTTGAGATCTTTTTCTTTTCCTTTTTCGCTGACACATCTTCCGTTGGCATCAACAGCACTGTGGAAGAAACCGGTGATATCTTAAGTCGGCATAGATAGCTCTGTCACCGTAGAGTCGGTCGGTCTCGCAGTATCTTCCGTTGGCATCAACAGCACTGCGGTGAGAACGGTCGATTACCTATCCAAGTCTCGGTCGAGAAGGGTTTCCGAATCCTTATTGGTCGAGGTCATCTCATTAGCCTTCTCGGCGAAGTGAGGTGTTACAGTTATTACATTCGGCACATTGAAAGCCGAATTCGGTTCGTGAACTTTGTAAGAATAGCAGCCTTGTCTTCAGGCTCGAGAACCCAAGAGGCCGAGACGTGTTCCTTTCTCGGCCGCAATCGCAAGACGCAGAAGTCAGTAGCGCGACCCAACGCAACACCAACAAATTTACTCCTCGGCCGAGCCTCGGCCGACGAGTTGGCACGCCCCGCAATCACCGAAGGACGTAGTTAGCTTAGAATATACTCGGCCTGCGCGCCACGTAGGCTTTGTAATTTCTAGGGTCAACATTTTGGCACGCCCAGTGGGACCCAGTGCTAAACTACGAAGTTCATGCCAATTGAAACACGATCGGTAAAAAAGAAAACAGCTATGGGAAAGTCGACAGCCGATTTGCCGAGTCAGAGCATAGGACAGAGTGTGCCACAGGCGCAGAATCCCCTTAGCGCTGGTACACCTAAGTCCACGAGCGCGACTCGCCGAGAGAGAGAAATTAATCTCGGTGGTCAGCTCCGTGGGTTAGAGATCCATAACAGAAACACAGGCGTCCTCAATGAAGGGATAATAGAGGAATGTGACGAGGATGGTGGTGAAGGATCTGATCCACCAACAAGGTCGTTTCTTCGGAAGCGACTGGAGGAGCAGTCTCGGTCAGTCGAGCAGACGTTCAGCCGAGGCATCGACAAATTGCATGACGCGATAGTCAGTTCTGCTGAGCGACAGAACAGGTTGCTCGAAATGTTGTTTAGCAAAGTCGGTGGCAGCAGGCCTGCTGATCTTCTCCAGCATTGTCCTCCAGGAAACAATCCGGTCCCGATTGTACCGGCCGAGCCTATTCCTGCTCCGTTGAAACCAATTAATTTGGAAAAAGGAGGAGGGTCAAATAATAGGCCAGCGGAAACTGACCAGAGGGTCGAAGCAACACCTGTTGACATGACCGAAGTGCTGCGGATGATCGACTCGGCCATGAAAAAAGGGCCGAAGTTTCCCAAGTTTATTCATCCGTACCCAGCTTATGTGGAAACGTTTGGGTACCCGAAGGGATTTAGGATCCCAGATTTTAGTCTTTTTGCCGGTGAATCGTCCTTGTCTTCATTGGAGCATGTGGCTCGTTTTACCGCGCAATGTGGAGATGTCAATAGTGACTTTCATAAGTTATGGCTGTTCAACTTCTCATTGACCGGCTCGGCATTTGCTTGGTACATTAATTTACCCCCCAATTCCATCCAGAACTGGGAAGAGTTGGTCGAGAAATTCCACGAGCAGTTTTATCGGCCAGGGATGGAGATGTCAGTTTCTTCGTTAGCAAGGATGGCTCAGGCATCTGATGAATCACCAATGGATTATCTTACTAGGTTCAAGACAGCCAGAAATTGGTGCCGAGTACCTTTACCCGAAGTCGAATTCGTCAGGCTTGCTTTGAACGGCTTAGATGTCGAATACAAAAAGAAATTCTTGGGGGCAAACTTTAGGGACATGTACGAACTAGCCCAGCATGTCGAACAGTATGACTATTTGCTTCGCGAGGAGAAGGTTTCGAAAACGCCATCTCGGGGGACGCTTTACAAGAATCCTACGGTTAACTACGCGTCTACCGAGGATGAATGCGTTAGTGTGGATGCGGCCGAGATCGTAATAGATAAGCCATACGTTTGTAAGGCGTTGACTCAGGTTGATTCTAGAGAAGTCAAAAGTCGCTCGGCCACTGAAGGAGCGTTGAAGCCGCCAAAGGTCTACACTTTTGATATTACCAAGGCTGACGCAATTTTTGACCAACTGTTGTCCGCAAGAATCATCAAGCTTCGGCCTGGCCACAACATTCCCAAGGCCGAAGAGCTTAAGGGAAAGGTGTATTGCAAG